ACTTGACATTTCCGTACTCAATGTTTGATCCACACCACCACTTCAAGTTCAAGTTTATTGAGACAAGACAGAAATACATCTCAAAGGGATAGAGTAGCTTAGGCTATTTCTACCCCCCTTCCCCCACTTCATCACACAAGAATGGCGCCTCCCGGCCAACAGTACTGCACCACCAACGGGCAGAATCCTAACCAACATCAAGATGAGGGAAGAGCGGCCAGCAGAAACACAAACGAATCCATGTTTTGCTAAGGCGCGCGACAGGTAGTCCTGATTAAACGGGATAAAGCCAGTAAATGTGTTTACCCGTTGACGTACAGGTTACACTACACAGGGGGCTCAGGCTTACTCACCACCAGGGGATACACCTCCAACACTACGCTCCCTTACTAGGCTACACTTCCCTATTCCTGAATATAGTGTAATGTTTGCCCTATAATTAAATATAGGGCATAAATACTGGGTATAAATTGGATAAGTTTAGATTTAGGAAAGACTTGGGTAAATACTGGTTCAGTAACAGGGTTGTTGATTTGTGGAACCAATTGCCGCGTAACATTGTGGTGGTGGGGTCCCTCGATTGTTTCAAGTGTGGGTTGGACATGTATATGAGTGGGATTGGGTGGTTATAAATAGGAGCTGCCTCGTATGGGCCAATAGGCCTTCTGCAGTTGCCTTTGTTCTTGTGTTCTTATGTTCTTAAATATACCCTGGCGTGAAACTATCTGGTCCTCGCCATGTCACAAACTGCTCACCAATTGTCCCCTTGTCTAGTTTAAGACGTCATTCTTTAGCAGAAGCAGTTGTTCAAGTTTCCCTGCGCGGTTACACCTTGTCACAAACACTAGTGTCCGATGCGCACGCACTACCCTTCAAGCACCGACAAACAGCTTCCACAAGCAAACTGAATAATTGCCGTTATATCTAGTCGAGGACCCATAGAACAGGTGGTGGTTGTGTATGTACAGATTACCCGGTTCCCCAAGCCCCCCCCCCCTCCACGCAGTCTTCCGTGCAGAGTATCCGTGATCTCCAGTATCAATAGATGATACTGGAGATCTGTGGAGGTGCGACTGCACCCTGCGTGACGGGAGATGTTTCCCGTGAACTAGCAGGAGGAAGTGATTGATTGATAAAGATTAAGCATGAATAGCATGAATAGCATGAATAGCCCGTAAAGCATGAAGTGCCAAGCCATTACCTCTATATAGCACTTAGAAGAGGTCAGGATAAAGGTTTGGGATGGGACGGGGGAAGAAATGGTGCCCAACCACTTGAACGCCGACCTGCATGAAGCGAGACCGTCGCCTACCGTCCAGCCCAAGTGTTTGGGTAGAGCAAAGACAAACTATCACAAGTTACTCGTACAAATAGTACATTTGACGGGAACAAACTTGTTTACCATCAGGTGTGAGACTGTTGAATGCAGCTACAAACTTGGAGGAGCCAGAGGACCACGGTGATAACTTTTTCAGTGGGAGTTATCACTATGGTAGTGGTCCGACTCCCGCCAGCAAGGCACAAGTACATGCTCTACCTGGGCTTGGTTTCATATGCAGTTAGGAAGTACTGCATCCCGAAGCACAAACGTTTGAAGTCATTTATTGTACTTGAATAATAGATAAAAGATGAGCTCCAGGAGATGCAGTTCAACACCGCATCCACAACTTCAGTCAGTAGAGTGCCCGCGCCACCCATGTAGAGTTAAATTCGTTCTTTGCGCCATGATTGCATTCACTGCCTTATGAAATTTCCCCCAGCAAAGGTTACTAAACTACCGACCTGCCCAGCCACTGGAAACCCAATAAGATGAAAACAAACCTGACTTATCCGAACATGGAATACCATATGGTAATTAGTCCACACTAATTATTAGTGTTAATGATACAAGGCACACTTTACAGCCTATCATATATATATCACAGGATAAATACCTCTGTATTTGCGCATCAATAACAACTGTCACTCATGAACACTGAGGCAGGGGACATGAAGGAGGACCATCCGAGTGAGAGTTGTGGCAGGGTAACAACAAGAGGCGGGTGTAAGACCGCGGAGGAGCGTGTCAAGGTGCTACACACCATTACCAGACAGGTGTGAACGGGATCACACTTGCCACCAAAGTGTAGCCTCCTCCAGCCTCCACAAACACGCTGCACCTCCTTCCCACTTACGTACTTCTATTATTATCTTTTCCGTGAAAATCAATCACTAGTCAGTATTCCTTCTCTCCATTCCCCCACACACATTCTAGAAGGAATATTAGAAGCGGCTGGAGGACGGTAGATCGTAAGATAATTATAATAATTCTTTGCAATACGTGGCAGGCAAAATTACCCTAAACTGCCGCGCCTTCCGCTAACTTCCAGTAAACCACCATTAATATCGGACATAGATCTCTGTCCTTCCCGAGAAAAAAGTTCTAACTGCATCCCCGCTCTACGAATACATTATCGACCTGTGTGGCGCTCTTAGTGAAAGAACCGTCACTCACCCGCAAACTCACGTGTCGACGTAAACAAGACCCCGCCAGCCGTCGCCACACACCATAGAGCATCACCAGTAGTTCCCAGGGAGGCCGCCCGCTGGTGGCCTCAGAGGGGCGCTGGTGGCCTCAGAGGGGCGCAGATCACAGATGGGATGGACTCGGACTTACAGCTTGCGATTGCCGTCAGATAGCCTCCACTACAAAGGAACGACCGGACATCGCGCACTAGTGGCGCATAAGTGAATTTATTTTCTGACGTTTGAGACAAATGGATAATCATGTTCGTGTTTTTTATATCAAGTGACAGGTGTTATTTTAATAGAGGAATGTGTGTTAGCTGGGTAATAGCCGGATGACTGTTCAGAATGCGTGCGTGCGCCCCCTTGTGTGTATACATTGTGTTTGAAAGAAATGTGGTTTATTAAGAAATATGAGCAGAGGGTCATCTAAGGATGTGAACAGTGGAGTAATGAGTGACGGGTGGTGTGAGCAGCACACGAGGTGGCACTAGCCCTGGTCTTGTGGCGGGGGGGGGGGGTGATACTGGCACAGAGGCGATAAAGAGGGATGGGCCGAGGAGGGGGGGGGAGGATAATAAAGTATAAAATAACTGTACAGCAGAATGGTCGCCCCGCTCCTGTGCCAGGTAAGTCCACCACGGGCTCACCATAGCCCGGGCTACTTGCCCCGCTCCTGTGCCAGGTAAGTCCACTACGGGCACACCATAGCCCGGGCTACTTGCCCCGCTCCTGTGCCAGGTAAGTCCACCACGGGCTCACCATAGCCCGGGCTACTTGCCCCGCTCCTGTGCCAGGTAAGTCCACCACGGGCTCACCATAGCCCGGGCTACTTGCCCCGCTCCTGTGCCAGGTAAGTCCACTACGGGCACACCATAGCCCGGGCTACTTGGAACTTTTGGTTCCCAGGAGCTGAATCTAAAACAGTTAGCTAACTGTTTGGGTAAATGGTTTGTTGGTCATCTAATGACAATGTAAAACTGATTATAAAGCGGCCTGAAGGCTGAAAAATTAACGTTCACATTATACAATTTTGTTTAAGCAATTTTACAGAATATGATTTGCAGTCCAAGTGTGCAAATGGGAGTCAGAGGTAACGGCCAAGCTGACACCACTTCAACCGCCGCTAATATCAAGAATTTCCAGCTGCAAAACTAGCCCGGCGCCTGTGCCAGGTAAGTTACGGGCTCACCATAGCCTGTGCTACTTGGAACTTGTTTCAAGTAGCTGAATCTATAAACAACAACATTCACAACTATTAGGTTTACGAACATAAACGTTAGGACCAACACAGTAGGCTTCCAAGACGCACACATTCCCAGTGTGAATACAATGTCTCACTGTTCCTACAATAACAATATTGGCTCTACGGTCATTTTCTAGTTCAAGTTTGCTAATAATATTTAACAAACTTGGATGCTAAATATTATTTAATACGTAAGAAAAAAAATGCTAAAAAATGGCTAAAAAATGCTTAAAAATGTAAGGTTAATTTACACTGCTGTAAACCAACTCTGAGATAATTGTATTGATTTCTTTAAAATATTGTGAATACAGCTTTCATGTGTTGTGCTGTATATGGGTGTGTCCTGCTCGGCCCGTTCCCGCCACCATTCCCAACGTCAAGAAACTGTCGTATTAAGGTGCCCTTATCCTAACCTACCAGAGGCCGCAAAACAGGAAACGGGACATTATGTCAATTTCGCGAGCCGCCGCCATTTTCTTGTATGTAGTTGTTGGCCAAAAGTAAAGTATAGGTCAAAATGCGACGCTCTATTAGGAGGACGGGTTATACTGAGTGCGCGCCCCTGGCATCAGGATATGGGACCAGATTCACCAAGCAGTTACGCAAGCACTTACGAACCTGTACATCTTTCCTCAATCTTTGGCGGCTTTGTTTCTAACTATTAAACAGTTAATGAGCTCCGAAGCACCAGGAGGCTGTTTATAACAATAACAACAGTTGATTGGGATGTTTTCATGCTTGTAAACTGTTTAATAAATGTAACCAAAGCCGTCAAAGATTGAGGAAAGATGTACACGTTCGTAAGTACTTGCGTAAGTGCTTCCGTGAATCTGGGCCATGGTAGATAGTCTGGCGCAGGCGTGCTTAGTATTTGTCGTCCTGTGGCTCAAGGTCATTTTACCCCCCCCCCCTCTCCTTCAGAGGATTTTTAATATAATTATGACGTTGCCTCCTGGAAGCTACGTGGTCCGTCAGTAGCAACCTTCCTTGCTCCACCATACTCTTAGTCTTACGTGGCAGGGCTATGCAGCGAGGGAAGCCAAATGTTTACAAACAATACCATCCTAGCTATAACTGAGGATAGTTGGTGAGGTACGTTTTTATACGATGAAAATCATTATAAGAGTGCTGTGGCTTCTACAATTATAGTATGGGCAAGACAGCCTTAGAATGATGATACTGACTTGACTCAAATGAAGAAAAGACAGTACAGCTAGCTACTTGTACTCTGAAATAATTGTGTACTCACCACCTCCGTCCTCCTCGGTCAGATCAATGATGGCATCTCTTGAAGCCCTGGAGGTGCTGGACCTGGCCTCTGGTGACGTGGGGGTCAAGAGCGGCTGACCGTCAGGAGTGGTGGCTGGTGTTGACCAGTTCCGGCCGTGGTTGGGTTTAGGGGTCAGCGTGAGGGGAAACCTTGGCACGGGGGCACGGGGCAACACGGGAGGCCTCATTTGGTCTGGACAGGAACGGGTCCGTCCCCGCTGGACAGGCGTCCAGTCTTCCTTCGGTGGTACTTCATGTTTAGTTTCGTCTTGGTGACGCTGCTCTTTATTAGCCAAGTGGTGGGCTGGGCGACGACGGGCGTGCGGGATGGCTATGGGCGGTGTAACACCCTTTTGGGGGGCGGTAGCCACTTTTGGCCTAGGTTCATCTTCGTCACTGGAAAACGTAAAGGAGTTTGCGGAGGAGGGCGAAGGAATATATCCCGAGTCGTGACCATAACCCAGCGAGTGCAGCGTCACCATCCCCCCAGAGTCCTCTGTAGCAGGAGTCGGTGAACTTGCCAAATTCGTCAAGACCAAGGTGGGTGTGGTAGGCGGAGTGGGTGGGTGAGCAGGCTCAGGAGCATCATTGATACAAAAGGAAGGGTGGAGCCGGGTAATTATGCTGGTGTTTCCGTAGCCAGTGTACTGGCGGCCGCTGACGCTCCAGGAATCATAGACGGGGCGGCGGTGGGGCGACACCTGTCCTCGCTGATTGTCCTCACTGACGCGCTTACCTCTGGGCCCACTCAACACGTTCTGTAGCAATCACACACCATAAATATTTGCAATGGATAAATACAACATTAAAATCAACAATTTAAACTCCCTTAAAAGTGAAAATAATGAAACTCATTAGGCACTTAGTCAACGTGAAGATAATGACTCATTAATCAGGCAAGTGAAGACATAAGGAGGGCGCTTACCATGTTGCGCTGGGGGGCGGGTATTGGGGCGGTCCGCTGGTAGCCTCGCTCCTTCCCATCATCGTGGTTCTCGGCCACCATCGACACCTCGAACACGTCGTCAGCCATGTCATCGTCGTCGTCAGGATGGTTGACGTGCCGCATCATCCCATGGTCGCTGTCATCTACACCCCACATTTCCATTTCAACCGCACTATCACTCTGTTGGAACCACAATGAAAAAATTAATTACATAACCGCTGCAAAACAATATTCCTACATACCCAGCTGTGTATATCTTTTTTGTTTTGTCTGCAAGTCTTGAGTGTTTTCTTAATTCTAAGCTACTGGGACCAGAGTACAGCTTGGGCAATGTAGTCTTAGTTTACAATCTCTTCGGAATATCAAGACGGGTTCTGTGCTGACTGGAGTCGCCTGAGCTGGTGCAAGGAGAGAGAGAACTTCGGGTAAAATGGCAAAATGAGAATCAAAGAGACAGCCAAGGCCGCTCTTTTAGATTATAAACTGGTTGCCCTTGGGCACCATACCATGTCAGTGGTCAATGAGGATTGGAGGGATATTACAAACCAAGTTGGTGTTCACGGCAGTGGATCTGAGCCGTGTTAATTGAAGGAAATCACTTTTAGCCAGCCCGTTCTCGCGATTTTTATTAATTACACCTCTGTTCTTCATTGATCTTCATCTCTTATGGCGAGTCCCAAAATATTTTCAACGAAAGCGCATGTACTTATCTCTGGTGCACTGCATTCACTGACTTTCTGGGTGGAATTGTAAACTTTTGCTAAAAACACGAAAGTTGACAGTTCACCATTAGAACCCTTTAAATGATCTAGGATATAGCTCCTTTCCAGATTTTTTTTAAGTTAGACTAGATTTTTTTGTTAGTAAAGTTCACTTATTGTGCACCCCAAACCCATGGTGTCCGTACACCAGTATAGCTGCCAGTCCGGCCAATAATGGCTGGGTGTTGGTAGTTGCCAAACCGTGCCTCACTGCCCCAGTCAGCCGCTCTGGGGGCCAGATAGAGAAGTCTGGCGAGGGTGGGCGTCCTCAAGTGCGGATGTGGTGTGATGGGGCGCTTGATATTGGAGAGGCAGGCGACGGGATGCGTTATGTCAGTGAACTCAATTCAGCAGTCCCTGAAGAACCAGTATTTTTGTGTACACACACGTGGCCATAAATATGTAATGATAACCACCACATATATTTACTTGTCCTCTATGGACACTGTTAGAGTTCTGTTTAGTTACACAATACAGTGGGTTATGGTGCGCACGCAGTTTTTATAATGACAAATCGCAGTGGGCGAGTCAAGGTTACCAACTGGAATTGATTTATGCAGAAGACCTTTTCCCCATCACCAATCATGCACGCGCCTGTGAGGTCTCCCATGAGTTCATACCAGTAAAATTTTAAATTATAATTGTCAATTGATTGATAAAGATTAAGCCACCCAAGAGGTGGCACGGGCATGAATAACCCGTACAATGGACAGCGATTGTTTATAAAGTTAATGCGGTGATAGAGACGGTAATTGAATGTGCATTCTGCTCTTAACAAGTTAACTAGATTACGCTATAAATAAACGATGTATAGATTTATGCTTACTAATTCACCAGTGCTATACTGTAACTTGCTTATATAAACTAATAATGGAGTCAAATACTTGCTGAATCCGTTGTGTATGCAACCGTCAACCTTTCCACTACCGCTGACACCATGGGTTCTGGGTGCACAATAAGTGAACCTTACTTGCAACAAAATCTAGTGTAACTTGGAGAAAAAAAAATCCGGAGGACATATATCCTAAATCATTTAATGGGTTCTAATGGTGAACTGTCAAGTTTCGTGTTTTAGCAAGTTTACAATTCCACCCAAAGTCACCCAAGACTAGCAGGAACTCCCCAATGAAAGCCGTGCACTGGTGAAAAGTGCATGAGCTGGCGTAGTAATTAACATGGGCCTAGTTCATAATAGGACTAATCACGGATGACAAATTAATGGGCAATAGTGGGGGGGGGGTAATTAATAAACACTAGTGTGTTTAGTAGTGAAATTCTAAAATTTGGCAAGCCTAGTCCGCACGTGAGCACATGACAGAACGGCGAGGCTAAGCAATGCTAAGGAAACACTGGATTACATCCCCTCCCTCAGTAACACAAGAACATGTGCACATTGTACTCCGAGAGTAGTAATGACTGTTTGCCATTAGCGCAGCTGATGCTCACCAGATTACACAATGACTGTTGAATATACAGTAAGAACCCTGTAAGTAACGAGGCGGCACATGACAATATGCTATAAGCCCCTAAGGTAACTATGACAAGAAAATACTAAGCCAGTATGACTGTTCCCTAATGTGACTATTCGACGGAAGTTATGATACTGTATATCCAGATAATAAATACGACCACCAATTAGGTCTATATTTCTATAACATGATGTAACCGACTGGTTTGTCTTCCATTTTTTCTGTACTTGGCAAGTAGAGAAACATTTTGATCAGTGTTAATTTATTTATTTTATGAGAATGCATCAGTTTGTGTGTGTAACGACGATGGCTTGCAACAAGACGATAAAGGCAGTGAACTAGGGCAGTTGCACATTAATGTGACATTGTGAAGCGTTTGTAAAAAAAAAATCCTGTTTGGACAAAAACAGTAACATTAATGAAATGAGTTTATCTAAAGTAAAATTTACATAAACTGATGAGACATGTAAGGAAACTCCCGTAACTTGTACGAGTGGACGGAAAGTGTAATGTATTGAGAGAAGTTTAAAAACCACTTCTGTTCACAAATTCAAGGAACAATACAACACATGAACGATGAGAAATGTAATAAGTGCGCCAGGAATACCTGGCAGAGAAGCGGGCAGGTATATACCTGGCAAGGAGGTGGGCAGGTATATACCTGGCAGGGAGGCGGGCAGGTATATACCTGGCAGGGAGGCGGGCAGGTATATACCTGGCAGGGAGGCGGGCAGGTATATACCTGGCAGGGAGGCGGGCAGGGAGGCGGGACATAAAGCAAGATCTCACTCCAAAGTCACTCTCCGGTAACAGGAAGGCAAGATAGCATCAGGACATGTAAGTTAATTGTAAGTTACGTTCACCTTTACACAGTACAAGACATTTATGTTAAATGCTTATCGTGTAAAAAGTTTTCAAGCGTCTATCAGTCATCCCCCTAAAACACAGGTAAAATTTAGGATGTAAGTTACGTGTTGAAACAAGTAAGCGAACGTCCGACGACCCTGTCTCTGATGATGATAATCATCTTGTTTGAGGAGCTGTTCACTTAAGACAGTTAAGCAAGTCCCATCTGTGTCTGGGTACAAGTAACAGGATGAACAACCCAGCGGATTTTCTTCCTATTGGGGAGTGTTGTACATGCTGCTATGGCGGTATGTCCACTCACAGGATGAGTGGTGCTGCCCAATACTGTCACTATGGCGGTGTGTCCACTCACAGGATGAGTGGCGCTGCCCAATATACTCGCCCCTCGGGGCAAAATTTAAAAATTTAAATGAGGCTACCTAGTGTTATTTGGAGTGGGAGCCTAGTCCGCTTCTGCCCGACTATTCCCGCTCAAATCTAGTTAGGCCTATTCAAGACAATATGGATAAATGTCATCAGTTATTGTTAGAAAAGATTACACACACATTTCGTTCACTTGTGCGAAACTGACCGGTAACTTATTACCCCTAATTTAACTATCAGAAAAGCTGAGTCACAACGGGGCTGAAGATATGAAGACCAAACCACTCACCAGAAGATGAGATGATGACGTTTCGGTCCGTCATCATTATCACAATCGACTTAATAATGGTCCAGGACGGACCGAAACGTCGTCGTCTCCACATCATCTGGTGTGTGGTTTAGTCTTTAGAACAGAAGAGTTAAGTAATTATGAAATGAAAGCGCTTGTCCAGTACAAGTATATGGCCAGAAGACTAAGAAAACGTTGTAGAAAATAAGTGCATTAAAGTGATTGCTGCAGCAGCCTTCGCAACTTTGACACCCAACCAGAGAACACCGGAACGTTACCATACCCAGTCAGGTCCTATCCAAAAGGTCACTTGTTCTATACATGTGACAGTACAGAGAAGAATGAACACGTCTCTATACCCGATGTTCATGTTCCTGAGGAACATGTTCAACTAGTAGTAACTAGGTATGGTGGAGTTGGGAACTATTGTGGGTTGAATCCTGGGGCAAGGTCAGTAATTGGCATAGGCCTGGGAACCTTGATAATTCTACGGCTTCCTGTCCCTTAACACACTATAACGTTAAAACACGTACACACTGCCCCCAAGAGTAACACAACGTCATGGCGTTGTCTTCCAGTTGGTTGCAAGTTGAGAAGCGAGACCCAAGTGTAACAATCTCAGTACACTTAGGTTAAGTACAGTTATGCATGGACACTCGCTAACACTCATCTTAGTGTTGACAATTCAAGAACACTGAGCATAGCTACTTATGTAAAGGAAAAAATGTATATGTTTATCTCTCAGAATGTTCGGTAATACGTTTATTGCTTGTGATGTGTGTCTATGTATGTATTAACACGATGTACTGAACTGGGTGAGAATAGCTTGAGCTACCTCATCCCTTTGTGTGTATTTTACCTCAATAAACTTATTTTAATTTCTGAGCACAGCAACATTTTAACACGGCCAAGAACACGGAACATTACAACAGGTGTTTGTCTACATACCCTTACACACTGGCATTATTATTATTTATATATACAAGAGTTCTTACATTCTTGTACAGCCACTAGCACGCATAGCGTTACAGACAGGTCCTTAATCCTAATTTCCACACACTAATTCATGCTCAGGAGCGACAGTACCGAGACAACTGTCGTTAACACTGCCTAATAACCCTATAAGATAGTAGAACTTTGCAACCAATGTCTCTCAACAACACAGTACTCAAGTATACACGTCATCAACTGTTAGCCAGGAGTCTATGCGCTTCAAATCGCGACCAGCGACGACACTGATCACGCCTGACATTAACTGGAACTCTCATATAGTCAATACAGTCAAATTACCATACAACGGAGGTATAAGGAAGTCCCCGTGAAATGATCGCGTAGTTTATGGGAATTATGCCATAGCAGTTTCCAATGTGTACCAAGCATTAAGGCTTCACTCCTCGCCTCTTTAACTCTGTAATAAATCATTAGGCAGCAATTCTATACAAGTCTAGGGACATACGTACCAAGAAGTGTCTTGGATAAAGGCTTCTGGAGTAAAGAACTCTTATAGTAAGTCGCCAAACGTTCTTAAAACTTCAAGTTACTTACTCGCTCTTTAGACATGTTGCAAGAAGTGACAATCTCCTTCCGGATCATAAACAAATTTCCAGGCTGGTTGTTGAGCAGTAGGTAATCAATTAAGAATGTAAAACTCAACGTAACTTCAACGAGCAAAAATAAACATCTCGATCCGTTCACCAACACCCTCCACCCACTACGTCACAGACTACACTAACTCCTGGCCATTGGGACGTCTGTACATACGAACCAAACTGTCATACACCATCCATCATTATCCAAAACATTTGTTTTGGTTACGAATAAATAAATTATCACTACTTATTTATAATTTACATCAATACATAACATGTAAAAATGCATCTAGAAGTTTATGAAAGAATTGTGATGTTTTTAAAGGGAACCGATAACAAAACACTTTACGTCTGGCAGCCGTGAGTCAAGGTTACTAGCATGTTGTGTCATGTTGCTTTATGACTCACAAGTGCAAATTGCACATCACATAGTTATACTCACACAATAATATAGGCTACTCGCGACATTTATAGTGGTAGATGAGCTTTACAATCTTCTTGAATATCCACAGGACTATATATAGAGAGGTTGTAAGAGATCCTTTGCGTAGCATACGGGGATTTATTTATTTATATACAAGAAGGTACATTGGGTTTGTGAGGATACATAGCATAGTATTTACAATCTCGTAAAGCCACTAGTACGCGCAGCGTTTCGGGCAGACGGTTATGTGGATATTTGTTATAGTCCAAGAGTGAGACTTGACCAAAGCAGAAATGCTCTACAAAGGTACTAAACAAGGTACTAAACTGTACAATGACCTCCCTAATAACATACAAAATTGTACTTTTCTCAACCAGTTTAAAAGAGAAAATAAGAACTATATAATTAACTTTATATAACCAATTTTACTCGCCTTTCCTCATCCTATATACATGTCAACCTGTGTTGTGATGTTATTGAGAACAAAAACTATTGCTAAAAACTGTCGTTCTAAAATATATTTAAAATTAATATATATTCTCTCAATTACAGTCAAGAAAAACAATGAAATCTGACTCAATGCACCGCAGTAAGAGAGGATGTAACAGGCTGGAGGAACGTGGTTAATGAGGTTCATAGGGCTTGATACTTGGACCAATACTGCTTCTAATTTACATAAATAATACCTACAAGAGTTGGTCGGACCCACATGCCATTGTTGCACAATATTACATGAGGACCTACCTTGACAAAGGGTATGGGAGTACTGATGGTTACTGGACATTAATCCAAAGAAACGCAAAGTAATTAATTTCATCAGATTGTGGTGACTGATGGGCAGTGTGACAGAGAGACTAAGAAGATGCACAACTGGTCTAGTAGGAGGCCAGAAGGTGGAACAAGCATAATGGCAGGCAGTGTCAATAATAAACACAGGGAAAGGGTCTAGACCTTAGCACCAGACATACATTAACGCAGATTAACTTCATTCACACCTGACTTACACGTGGCCACACCTGGCTCACCTATGGCCATACCTGTCTCAACCGTGGCCACACTTGGCTCACACGTGGCCACACCTGACTCACCTATGGCCATACCTGTCTCAACCGTGGTCACACTTGGCTCACACGTGGCCACACCTGGCTCACCCATGGCCAGACCTTTCTCAAGGAGAAAACTGACAGGAGCTCATGACAATGACCGGAAATAACAAGGTAGGAGCGGTTGCTGACTCCTCCACCGCAGAGATGTCCTCCCCTACCATACCCACAACGGTCAGGTGGGCCCCCCCAAGAGCCCTCTCCACGGACATTTACTGCTTCTAATAAGGGTTTCTTACTAGGGTTGGACATGTATATGAGTGGGATTGGGTGGTTATAGATAGGAGCTGCCTCGTATGGGCCAATAGGCCTTCTGCAGTTACCTTTGTTCTTATGTTCTTCTTATGTTAATTAATGTTAACGTCCAACCAGAACTTGTGCATGTCAATGCTTGCAGATGATGTAAAGTTAATGAAAGGAGTAAGAATGGAGGAGGACTATAAAGTACTTTAGGAAGACCTTGACAAACTTCAGAAGTGGACAAATAAATGTCTGCTAGAATTCAATTCTGAGAAATGTAAAGTAATGACGGTGGGAATGGGAGAGGTAGGAGACCCGAAGAAAATTATTCCTGAAGGAAGAGGCAAGAACAGAACCCAATAGTGGATATAATCCCAACACTATTATCAAATCTCATGGGAACAGGATAGCATCAGCGGCATATGAGAAATCGGCACATATAAAACGATCAATCAAAAATCTGAACAAGGAGTCTTTTAAATCCATATATATATATAATGATTACTGAAGTATGCAGCACCGGCATAGATGCCACTTCTTTATGATGCCTACAGGAAAACTTGAGAAATTACAGAGGTTTACAGCTTGAGTAATACCACAATAAAGAGGGTCAGCTAAAGGACAGGATAAGGAAACTCAACCGCACAAGAGGAAAGAAGAAAAAGGAGAGATATGATTGCTACATACAAGATACTGAGGGAAAATATAAATTTGACAAGTGCATACAATTTAAATAGAGGATGTAGGATCAGGATACACCAGTAGAGGGTACAACATCTCAAGTGAGTCACTCACGGTTGCCAGATTACGTTGCGGAAAGTAGCGAGCTGACGCTCTAAAAGTAGCGGATTTGTAATAAAAGTATCCCAATCTTTTTTAGTGAATGATATGGGTTTCAAAGTAATATATTTTGATATATAGAGTACACTACACGATGTTAATTGTTTTATTAATATTATTTCTGCACATACACACACACACACACATTTTATATATATATACATATATATATATCCCTTGTAACTTGTAACACTTATATGCTGTGCTTCCTATTTTAACCTGCTATGTTAAATGGGAATCTTGTATTGTGATTTGTGTATTTGTACTCACTGAATTTGTGCGCCCCTTGAGGGACTTGAAGTAGAGGGGGTAGAAATAGCCTAAGCTACTCTATCCCTTTGAGATGTATTTTTTTTATTGTCTCAATAAACATACTTGAACTTGAAGTGGACTTTAATTTTTTTTCGACAGCTTTATTTCCTTAGTTTCCGAGCTGTTTTCTTTACCGTGTATGTTGTAATAAACTATTCCTATATTTACAGTTGTTTCTCCCTGTGAAGATTATTAAACAATGGTGATTATAAGGGCACGGAAGTTCAGCCTGGCCAGGGCCGCCAGCAGCCCTTGGGCCCGCCCTGGCAGCTCCCAGTCTTTAATTTGGCACCTTTGTGGCACCTTTGTGGGACCTTGGTATAAGCTTAACATGTATATATACACTGGCTGCCTGTCCCCCTACACAATGATTTATTATTACCTATTATTTTATCATTTAATTTAAATATTAAACAAAATAATTTAATTATTATAGTAAACTTAATAATTTAATAATAAGTAGTAAGTACATAAAAATGATTAAAAAGTAGTTTAGTCATAGGAGATTCCTAGATTGGAATTCACTACCAAATTTCAATATATCCAAGAATTTTTAGTGTGAAATGCTGTTATTATATGCATAAATTGTTGTTTTAATAATACCACTTGGGTTGGACGGTAGAGCGACGGTCTCGTTTCCTACAGGTCCGCGTTCAATCCCCGACCGCCCACGAGGTTGGGCACCATTCCTTTCCACCGTTCCATCCCAAATCCGTATCCTGATCCCTTCCGAGTGCTATATAATCGTAATGGCTTGGCGCTTTCACTTGATAGTTCCCCCACCCCCCTGAATAATATTACGAGAGCAGTATTTACGGGCTATTCATGCCCGTGCCACCTCTTGGGTGCGGTCCGTCTAATTACCACAAGCTACCACAAACTACACAAACTTCAGAAAGCTTCCTGGCAATACGTTAGTAATGAATAAATATGATATATTTACTCATTATAATGTTGGTGCTGAATGTACAACACGAAAAAACATAATTTTAATCTGAAAAAGTATCTTTTTATAAAGAAATTAGACGAAAATAAAAAACTGGTGACGCCAAATCAAGTCGACGATCCAAGCTTCGGTTAGGTTAAGTTAGGTTAGGTTAGGTTAGGTTAGGTAAGGATAGGTTAGGATAGGTTAGGTTAGGTTAGGTCAGCCTAACTTAATATATCATATTTATTCATTACTAACGTATTGCCAGGAAGCTTTCTGAAGTTTGTGTAGTTTGTGGTAGCTTGTGGTAATTAGACGGACCCCTTGGGTGACTTAATCTTCATCAATCGAGAGCAGTACGTCCTAACCAGACATTATATAATGATATCCTGAACAGTTGATAAATAAAAGTAATTGCAGAACTCCAGTTATCTAATACTTATCATAAATGGTATGAAACCTTATCATAAGCCAAGGGATTTATAGATCAGTGTTTAAAAGGGAATTCGGAAGTAATAATAACACAGCTGATGCCATCTGTCGGCAGAAGAGAACACTATCAACTGGCTGGTCAATATTAGCCATAAGATACAGCTTACGCCATCTGTTGACATCAAATTACACCTATAACAAATTACCCTGCAAAATACAACTAACGCCATCTCTATTTTTTTCCAACGCACTATAAATAGTCAAACAGCAACCCATAAGGCGGGTTGTTGTGCTCGGGTAGGAGGTTCCAAGCTCCGCCCACAAGTGGTATGGGGTGCATTAAAAATGGCATATCATTGGTAGATATTCTTTGTTGACATTCACACAACAGCCAATCACAGGAAGGGATCAGCTAAAGGCTCCATCCACTTAATAAATCATCTTTATTCAGCACACCATCCTTACTTATGACATTCTGCTTCAACTTTAATCTACCTAAAAAGTGAAATGTTAAGTATTTAAAAATATTAATATAGTGATAATTAAGTATTGCAGGATATAACAGATGTTATATAAAAATTGGTTGGCTACCTAACTTGTGACGTTATTATTGGGGGTTGCCTTGACACAAATAATGATACTCTGCTCTGCCCTCTTATTCCAGTAAATTATTCAGTTAGATGGAGATTTCTGTCAGGTGCAAAACAGAAATGGTTGTTCTTTTTCACAACAACCTTGTTGTTGTGCACAAGGACCTATTTCTTAGTTTAAATTTTATTCATAAAAGAGTGTTGGTATTCCCCGCACCAGCCAATCACAGGAAGGTATTTCTGGAAGCTCGGCCTCCTTATGGACTCAGCACATCGCTCTAGCTCATGGCTCTCTGTTTCATCTCTTGTATATACAAACTATGACTTTTTTCGATTACTGTTATAATTAATAATATGAGATATAAAAGTTTTTACACAAAATGGCTAAATTCTGCCATTAAATGGACTTTGTCTGGTATACTTACAAACATATAACATAACATATAAATAAATAATAATACAAACATATAAATAAATAAATAAATAAACATACACCAATTTATTACCATTCATCCATTATTAATTTCGAATGTAATGTATAATGTCTAGTTTTTTTCCTCTCGCCATTACTTGGTGCAATATTTGAAAGTTGTCTATTTATTTATCAATCTATCTATTATCTTGCATTTATATTTACAAGTTTCTGTGCTTGGAAGAAAACTCTGCATTGAATTGGGACTAATTTATTAAATAATATTATTTAGTATTAATTAATATTTACAATTATTATTAATTACAATTATTTATAGCTTAGTTACTTTCATGTAATTCGCAGTCATACATTCTTAACTCTAATAGCCCAAATTAGCACATCTTGCTTTTAAATTAGCACAAAAAGTAGCAAGTAGCGAAATTAAAAATTCGGGAGCGCGGGGCTCTCAAAAGTAGCCCAATTCGCTATTTGTAGCCCAATCTGGCAACACTGGAGTCACCACCAGCTCTATGTAGTTCATCTATGCATGCTTTATTGTCGTCATTATTTCCCTGTCTGATTCTTCTGTTTGCTGAAGAGTTGTAAATTGCCAGGACCACTATCTTTCTTCCCATCTGCTGCCGGAGCCTGCGTAACCATTTGTATTTTGAAATTCTTGTTCCTTTCACTTTCATTTTACTAAGAGTGCAAGTCCCCCTAAGTGTTTTTGCTTTCTTTCTTTCCTTAATACAGTACTTGATATGCCCCTGGAAATATTTCACCCAAGATCATGTCATTTATTTTTGTTTCCACTATTGCATTTACATCAGGTTCTGTTTCACTAACCCTTTCTTTTATTTCCTCTGTTTTGTTTGTAATTCCATCATCATTTGTATTCTATTCCTTAAAACTCTTCTGGGCACACAGCCAGAGAAGGGCTGAGAGGCAGGAAGGGCTGAGACGAAGGAAGGGACTGAGACTTCTGACCTATCTCTCTGTCATATCTACTTTTGATATTATGACTGAAGTGTTTCTTCCCCAACCTTCTCATTTAGCTCATATTCCATTTCCCCACTGTTCCTAACGCTAAAACTTTCTAACATCACTATGGCTCAGCTGTTTCTCGAGCGTCCACCGATATGCCCTCTTGATCTATTGCTGTTCATTGTTACCATCTCTTTTTTTTCCCCTTGTTACCATCTCTTGTGTGTGTGTGTGTGTGTGTATGAGGGGGGAAGGGGTGTGGGAGTGTGGGCTGGGAGGTGTAGGGTGCTCGCTGAGGTGGACCTGACCGCAGGCAGCGAGCGGTCTGCTCAAGTATTTACTGACTTCCGATCCTTGGCCGTTGTCTACTCCAGCACCCGCACGCACTCCACTCCAGTATTGCTGCCACTTCACTTATGCCCTTCTCGTAGTCTCTAACACACTAGTTTTATTCTATTTGTCTAGATACAAGAAGGTACATTGGTGTTCTTACATTCTTGCAACGCCACTAACATAGCGTTTCCAGCAGGCAAGTCCTTAATCTAACAGATCAGGTAAGAAGAATTGTAGGTACAATTCAAGTACATTGTAGGTACAATCAGGTACATTGTAGCAAAATTTGATTAGGCATGAGTAAGTAGGAGTAGGGACAGGTTTAATACTGTGTAAGAGAGTAGGGGGCAGGTTTAATACTGTGTAAGGGAGTAGGGACAGGTTTAATACTGTGTAAGGGAGTTAGGGGAGGATCAAGGCTACTCACATTTATTGACACTACAATATGACGATACAAAATAACAAATCTGATAATTCAGGGAGAGTGTTGAACTTTAAGTGCGGTCAACTTGTAGGAGCGGAGTGACCAAGAGACGCCCTTGACGGTCATAACTTTGTGAGCCCAGGCTGAGATCATCGGCCTCTGGCAACTCCACCTCCACTCCTCCCAGCCTTCATGTTCTGTGTGGTGCAGGTGGAGGGCGAGGTGTACTCTGTGGTGGAGGGCGAGGTGTACTCTGTGGTGGAGGGCGAGGTGTACTCTGTGGTGGAGGGCGAGGTATACTCTGTGGTGGAGGGCGAGGTGTACTCTGTGGTGGAGGGCGAGGTGTACTCTGTGGTGGAGGGCGAGGTGTACTCTGTGGTGGAGGGTGAGGTGTACTCTGTGGTGGAGGGCGAGGTATACTCTGTGGTGGAGGGCGAGGTATACCCACCCGTGGTAAATAGTCTGCCTTTATCTACCCCTGTCAATTCCTTTAAGAATTTTGTGGGTGGTAATCATGTCTCTGCTAAATATTATGTTTTCCAGTGACAGGGTTTATTTGCAGTAGCCTTTCCTCATAAATCATACCTCTTAGCTCTGGGACAAGTCTGGTGTCATACCTCTGAACTTTACTTAAACTTCATCTTGCACTTAGAGTATTTGATTAGATAAGAACTACACGCTGAGGGCAAGGTGTGCGAGGTGTGCTCTATGGGCGAGGGTTTTAGGTTAGTGGGGGTATACAGTATTGTTTTAACATTTTAAGAAAGCTGAGAAACTACTGGCAGATATTGGCAATGGATGAGGATGGTTCTAAAGGAAGGCCACTGAGAAATTATCAAACAAAAATGGCTACATAGCACTGTGGGAGACTGGGATCTAAGAAGTTAGTAATTATCAAAAGAAGGCACCAAGCTGGGAAAGCTGTTTTGTATTGTGTCGAAGGATATTCAAAATGTTCTAAATATCACTTGTGAGCAATACAAGAACAAAATCTCATAAGACGAGCAATATCAAGGGCGAGGGACATTGAGAAAAAGAACTTCTATTTTCCTGAAAAATAGAACATCCTACTGTAACCAAGATAATGTAGTTCAGACAATAAGGAGCAGGATGTTGTTGTTTTAGATTCAGCTACTTGGAACAAAAGTTCAAAGTAGCATGGGCTATGGTGAGCTCATAGTGAACTTTAAGGAGCAGGAGATTAAAAAAAGTTGCATAATGACAACCAAATCCTAATATCGTACTATGGTAGCATTGCCAAATCAAGATTCTGAAACCTTGCTTCTTCTAATGCTATTAGAAACATTCTAATTCTAGTGATAAATCAGAATACATAAAACTCCCATACATAGCAATGATTATAAAAAGTATGTGTTTTTGTATTTCCTGGAGTATATTTCAAGTGTCAAGGTCTCATCAGTAGCAGTCATGGTGAAACACACAGGAAGAGTTTGTTACCTTTCATAATTAACAGTACAATACCTCTGAATAAAAATGTTAATTATAACTGCATGAATGATATGACTTGCCTCACTGGAACTCCTGTGTACGTGGGCAATCATGACGAAATAGTGCTCAAGATCTTTTGATTCAAGCAATTATTTTTCCATCCAGCACAATTCATAACTGATTTTTTGTTACTCCTGTTAAGTGATTAAAAAAAAAAAGTACAGTTTTGCAAGATTAGATGTTCTTTATGAATTTTATTAAGTGCAAATTTCATGAATGACATACAAAATGAAACTTACACACACACAGTTTCAAGGGAATTAATATTCAATTTAAGAATAGAAGTTTTTTTTATTAGTTTGCTAAAAATATAAAAACAAAGTTCTTTACTTTTCTAATACAGTACCAATCATAACTATGTTATCAGGAGCAAATTAGTTTCATTCTTTTGGTAGGTAATATTTTATTTATTTTTGCATACATTACAAATGTAAAGAAAGTCATACATTAAACATTAGAGGAATTTCTTACCAATATTTTTTGATAAAACAAGGCCCTGTCAAAATTAGCTTAAATTACACAATTATTAAAAAAGAAGAAAAAACAGCTTACACAGAAATGACTTTGTACAATATTCTAAATCAATCTAGATATGCTGTATTCAGTACAGGGCACTTGGCTAACCTTTAAGCACACTCTACTGATTACTGCCCTAAATTAAAGAAAATGTACAGAAAATTAATTCTTAATCAGTAAGGTATACAATAATTATAATATAATATATTCTTTCGGATCATCACAAAGAACTCTTGTAAAAACCCTTCATCTGACATTTTTCCTCTCAACTTAAGCAGGGTATGTTGTTGTAGTCCACAAAGTGCATTTATGCCCAATGATTACAATCCTATGTCAATTGCCAAACATTCAGGTAACATCCTTTCTTGCAGGCTGCTTAGGAAGCTTGACAAGAAACACATGGTTGGATACATGACCCTGCGACCTGTTGAAGAGTGCTTGGTGGATTGTAGGGATGTCTGGTGCTACCTGATGATTTGCTTTAAACCCTCTTAAACCTGGCACGCCTCCGCTCATAGTACTGCTTCCACTGAATGGAGAGAGATTTAAAATGTCTAGAATGTTGCTATATAAATGATGGCCAATATTCTATATTTACTATAATATACAACAAAATCACTGCAGATATAATACAAAACATTTCAAGCTATATATTACATACTTCATGTTAGATAATGCCGAGTATAGATATTTTGAATAAAAACGAAATCATTTGTATTAAAAAAATGCATTTAATTCTCCAGTGTTTACTAAATTACTGTGCTAATGATTCAGTCTACAAATTACCAATGAAGCATGCAGTACCCTCCTTACACCATCTAAGTTTTCCCTTGCCCTCCAAAACTGGCCAAAGTTAGTTTGGGAGGTTGGAGGTATGAAATTCCCTTCACCAATGATAGCAATGCCATATTCATTCACTAAAACTGATGAAAACAGCAAAAAATTACACTTACTCTCAGATATAGTACCCAGTGCGCCCTCTATCGTCCCATGAAAAAGAAAAAAAAATATTAGGATATGAAGTAACTTTAATGTCCCAAACTTCAGAAGTTTTCCATGATAATTTATCAATACAAATCTTATTAATGCCCTCAAATTGTTGCATTTTATTCCAAATTCAATAAAACACTTTCGAAAGTGAATAAACCCCAAAAAGCACAACTAAATTTTCAAGGATTACAGTACGTCGATAACTGTAAAAATTACGTTAACAGTTTCATTAAATTTTATTAAATATTTCAACCAAGAGAAGGCGGAGAGAGCCTGAGCACTAATACAGAAACCTAGCAGATAAAAAAAAAAAATAGCTGCACAGTATTTTATGCTCTTAAGCATACAAGAATATATATACTGTTACTATCACTCTTTCATATACTGTTGGAGGAATATAGTTTCAATGGCTTTATGTATCAATAAGAAGAAAACTTCCTACTATAGTATGTTCTAATACCCAAATAGACTAAATAATTCAGTAACCTTACTTTTGAGGAGTAAGGAATTATCAAAAGAAAACACCAAACATGGAAGGCTATTTAGTATCGTTCGTGGTGCACAAGTCAACGGGTTCAAAATGCCGATACAGGAGCAAAAAGATGCAGGACAAGCGACGTGAAAACTACAGGTGGCCAAGGATAATAGCAGGTGACATGTGACTCACGAGGAACATTGCAAAATCAAGGTTTATGATCCTCCTGGAACTCAGAACATTGTACAAGCTACTGCACAACAAAATAGGATTATAACATCTTTTTTTATCATTGAACTTAAGTTTCCTAAATATGTATAAAAAAAGTTAAGCGTTTTCATGGTTTACTACGATATTTCCAACACTATCATTCCTTACACAATGTCCAATTCACTTGCAAAGATAAAGCTAATGCTACAAATCTTCATTCCTAAATTTTGCAGTATATGCAGATGTATACAAGAAAATGCAGATAACAATAAGAACTTGAATGAGCTTTAGAGTAAATTAAAATTAATGCATTAAAAATTTGAACGTTTCCATGAGTTTGGTGTGGTTTAAGATGAGCCTAGCTAAGGATTTTGGCGAACTGAGCAAAATATTTGTATACAGGAATGTCACCTAAGAGTAGTAGTACATATAGTTGCTGTTTTCATCATCTATCTACTTCATTAAAGTTTGAATATTTCCTTAGAATTAGTTAATGGCCATTGTTGTATGCCAACAACCACACCTGTGTGTATTCACCTAGGTGCGCTTGCAGGAGTTGAGCTCTGCTCTTTCGGCCCGCCTCTCAACTGATTTTTGTTTTTCCACATACAAACACACACATCCAGGAAGCAGACCATAACAGCTGTTTAACTCCCAGGTACCTATTTACTGCTAGGTAACAGGGACATCAGGGTGAAAGAAACTGCCTAGGTATTTCCACCATCGTTCGGGATCAATCTCTGGGTCATAGGATTAAGAGTCCCAGGTGCTGTCCACTCAGCCACAGGGCCACCCCCTGTATTCACCTAATAGTGCTTGAGGGGGTTGAGCTCTGCTCTTTTGGCCCGCCTCTCAACTGTCAATCAATCAACTGTTACTAACTACTAACCCCTCCCCCCCAAATACACCCCCATGAAGCAGCCCATAAAAGCTGTTTAATTCCCAGGTACTGAGTACCTATTTACTGCTAAGTAACAGGAGCATCACGGTGAAAGAAACTCTGCCTATCTGTTTCCACCGGGATCAAACCCGGACCCTAGGATTACAAATACTAAGCACTGCCCACGTGGCTATAGGCCCGCGGTGTGTGTGTGTATGTGTGTGTACATCAGTGAAAATGGAGAGGGCATACAAAACGGGGCGGAGGGGTTTGGAAGAGAGAGAAAAATCTTGAGTTTCCCTGACAAGTACTGTATACTTGAGTAGAAATGTGAAAAGTATTTTTACCATGAACAGGAACTTGATTTTTTTTTTGCTAAGCCATGACCAAAAAGTTGCTGCTGCTGTTATTGTCCTGGTTCACTGTCTGCATAAAAATGACTGAAGTGAGCTTGAATGAAACATCACAAGCAAGGCTAGGAAAACATGCAACTTATAAATTATTTTTTTGTGAACGCATTTAGCATAAATTAGAACTATAATTCATTAAGACTAATGTGTTCTTTCAAAGCACAATTCATACACATCATTCCATGATAGGAAAGCACTCTTACATCACAAAGTTCAATAAATATAAATGCTGAGATGTGTGGAAAATGAGGTACTGTACTGAATTCCAAAATGATTCATGTGAACGAATAATATCTGGAGTGTGTTCAGAGAACTTACAGAAAATCAAGAAGAAACTGTTACATATTTCATGTACATATTTTAATATATACACAGAAGTGAACAAGAAAATATTGAAAGCCGTGTTATGGAAATAAAGTGTGTCCAGGGGCCAGATTCACGAAGCAGTTACGCAAGCACTTCCGAACCTGTACATCTTTTCTCAATCTTTAGCAGCTTTGTTTACAATTATTAAACAGTTAATGAGCTCAGAAGCATCAGGAGGCTCTTTAACAATAACAACAGTTGATTGCGAAGTTTTCATGCTTGTAAACTGTTTAATAAATGTAACCAAAGCCGTCAAAGATTGAGGAAAGATGTACACGTTCTTAAGTACTTGCGTAACTGCTTTGTGAATCTGGCCCCAGGGCTGTGACTTCAATTTCATTGCACGGCTGCAATATTTTCTCACGGAAGCATAATGTTATTGTAAAGTTACTGTACAGATAGGAATTATAAGCAGCAAAGCTCTATGATGGCTCCTATGAAAAGTATAGCACTCGTGAACATAAAAAAAGAACTCAACATGTATACCGTCAGATAGAAATAAGGTTAAGAATAATTGGGTTAAGAAAAATGAAAAATTATGCCAGGTAAAAAAAAAAGTGGATTATTTTTTAAAGAATGATTAAGTTAAGAGATTAAAGGCCTGCCCCACAATAAAAATTAATAGAGGAATAATCACCATAATAATAATAAACGGACAAGGGCAGCAAAAAAAGGGGAAATTATCCTGCTACAGGAAGGTTTTAATAGGGGTAGTTCAAATTATCACAAGATGTATGCGTATGATGTTAATGGAGAGTTGTGGAGGTTGAGTGGAAGCTCAGCAGTGAAACTGCTACGAGTGCTAGCATCTGTAAACATGTCTGATATTTTGGGGTAACCTAGATAATAAAGTATTGGTAAAAATATAAGCCAAGGAATTTAAGAATTAATGAAAAAGCAAGCAGTCTTAAACTGTTTAGGTGCTGCATCTTGGTAGACTAAGGAATCAAGGATACAGTACAATAATTTTAAAGTTATAGAAGGAATGTCTACTGACAGTGCTTGTCATCACACTGTGTTGAAGACTTAAACCTTTCACAGCTGATCACTTTATTAAGCAATGCTGTTGATCACTTCAAATTACATTCTTTATTCCCTAAACATGCAATGACATCACCAAACTATGCTGGTTTTGCATGACTTATGTTACGAAGAGGACCATTTGTAAGTGTTCAGATGGTTAGGTTGAATATATTGTAACAGGTTAGGAAATGCAGGCAAAAGTAAGGGGGATAAGGTGGTATGGTTTGTGTGGTGACAAGGAATCAAACTAGACTCCTCCCAGTCTCCAGTCCTTACACCACAGCAGGATAGAAAATGTCGAGTTCCTTTTCTGTAAAATTTATATGGAAATTTATCACTTGCAATTTTCAGTGGCAGACAGTGAGCGAGCTGCTCTACATCAGCAGTGTCAAAATATATTTTGATCAATATGAACAAATTTGCCAAAGTTACAAAGAGAATAGATAATCTTGTGTGTAAGCCCATGTGGACCCATTGAACTCTGTTAAGATTATGTTTCTTATGGTAATATTGTTTTTGAGAGGGAAGAATGCTCTTACTTCTGAGATGGGTTCTACATTAGCCTAGGTTCAGGTGTTGAGGATAAGTGATATTCTTAAATGAATGTGAAAGATTTGGCATCATACCAAGACAAATATTTTCAACAAGCAAGAGTTACATCTGGTTCAAAAGGTAGATTAACAGAAAATTTATTTTAACAGTACAGTACAGTGCAACTCCGCTCAAACGGATCGATTTGTGGCAGACCATGTCCATTGCAAACATTCTCAGTCATTTTTTCACCAATAAATGATATGCATTACGTTTTGACTACAATTATTTTTTTTATTACGTCAAATGATAGAATGAATTTTTTGTACATACTGTATTGATAACAAAATCACTTGGGAAAAAGTAAATTTGTAACTATTTCATTAAGTCTCTGCTCGGCTGGATGCAAAGCCACTCGACCAGAACTTTTCCATTCTCTGTTGTACCGAGGTTCCCGACTGGATTGGATCCGTTCCAGTCCACCCGAAGATCCGTAAAAGCGGAGTCCCAGTGTTTGTTGAAGAATATGCTTGATGGAATGGGGTGAAAGAGGTGACTGCTTGGATAAAGAGTTTCTAGAAAAAAAATAAGAAAAACTTTAAAATGCTGTACCTTAAGGCAAGATGTGCTGTTTACAGGACAGGATTATGCATAATAAGGCAGACCAATATATTGCATTGGTATAATAGGAAATTTTTAAAACTGTCCCAATAGGGTCATAATGTTCTAGGAAACCACTAGAGAACAAATTAATGGAGCCCAGATGTACTGATAAGGTCATTCATACATATGAAGTTATACAGACCTGTTTGTAGACAGCATAGGTGGTCAAGGAAACCCTGCTTCAATACCTCCATAGAATGCCACTAGGCAGCAGCACCTCACACAACGATCAGTCTCGACCATCAGCCAACTTTGAACTGGTTTCACTGTTCTGAATCTTTGAATTCCGTACTAATGGCTAAGCTTACAAATGGCATCGAGTATGTGTTTAAAGGTCCTTGTGAGCTCCTGATAAATCTCTTAGACTATGCATCATACTTCAGGGTTCAGTAATGGTGGTGACCAACAGTGGATTTGTCAAATAATACAACTTTAAACACATTTTGCCGGAAGTAAGGCAATTGTTGTGCAAGGGGTAATATTTTGGGTCAAGATTGTTGACTTTGTTCAGGTTCTTGGAATATCTCTATTTATAAAGGTGGCATAATTTAGTAAGGACCCTTCAGGATCTTGGCCCATAGATATCAGGCTTCTTTCTTGGACTAGAAAATGGAGAGAGAAGCTAGTCACAAGTCAAAGGTCTCAGACATTGTTTTTCATCCAGTGACTCCCACTAGTTCCCTTATGACTCCAGGGATAGTTTAGAAAGTTCCTTGTGCCTGATTGCATGATCTTGTACTATGAACATGGTGAATCTTACCAAAGGAATGGTAGAAAATTCACTCAAAAGGGACTCCATTATATTTAAAATATCTATCTTAAAACATTTCCCATACAGGTTTATGTTTACGAATACAGTCTCTAGACTGAAGCTTGTATAGGAATAAATAGCAGAGTTTCTTCATTATTTCCGAATACCTGTACTACGTACAGTACAGCAAACAAAATTAATTCCAACTTTTGTAGAATTGTCAGGAATATATATCCAAAATGGCAATTTGAAAAAATACAAATCTGCATTATGGTTTCCCAAACAAAGGGGTGGCAACCTCCCAAGATAATGTGAACGTGTCTTAGGCTGTGTGTGCACATGATGGCAGGAAAGGCACTGCACTGCTGTTTATGTAAGGAGATTTCAAGCCATGGATAAGCTGTATACACAGTCCCCAACTCACTAGGCCATGGTTGTCCCAATACCTGTAAATAATCTAGCTAGATAATCTCATCTAAATAACAGCAAGAGGTGAGACATGATGGGAGAACAGTGGAAGAAGGGAAACAGAAGATATTAAGAAAAAGGGAGGAAGAGTTGGGAAACGGATAAGTAGGATAGAAAGTTTACGAGGAAAGGAGGATGAGAATGCCGGTTTAATACTTACCTAGCAGCTTTCAAAACAGATTTGGTTTGTGATCTAGGAGGTGCAGGAGGTGGAGCAGCAGCAGACGTGGTCTTCTTGCTTACTACAGTCACACACATTGGCTGCCCATCAAGCTGTCGATTGTTGAACACTTCAACTGACCTACAGAACAATATCAGGGAAAAGTGCAAAATTGTAACAATGACATACTATGATGAATCTAAATGAAAAAGATATCTATGAGCCATGTACTGCAGAGGGAGGGGGGGGAGAGGAGGATAATCTTGGTTTACAGAATATGTACATTTTTTGGCATAGCTCACTTATGCATTTGAGATACTGTATTGCTTCATGATCCAAATTATGAAAAGGGACCCACCACCCTATATATACACATGTCAAAAGTTTTATGGCAAAAAAGCTAAATTTGTTTAATGCTGCAGGTGCAGACTATAAGCTTAAAACATGTACCAAACCCATAGGAAATTAATGAACATTAGCCAAGATTAGGAAATAACATGTATATTCCTTTTGTTACTAAAATTAGCTGATAAAACGTAAGCCCAAATTTGTGGGTGTTTAATCCTCCCGCACTTACCTATAAGCATCCTCAACATGCATGAAGACGGCCTCTGCAACACCTTCCCGAACCATCCGAGTTGACAGAATTGGTCCAATGGTTCCAAATAATTCTTCCATATCTTCTACACTTACACAGTGATGTAAATTGGTCACGAGAACCTAATAAAATATATACACAAGTTAGCTATTGGGGAAAAAAAAATATTCTTAATTATATGCCAAACCCTAAAAATATTAATGTCTTTAAAAGTTATTTGTGATCACAGCAGAAACAAATTTGTCTATACGAGGCTTCGTTCCGTTGTCAATTGGGATAAATAAAGCAAAACACATCAACTACCACAGAGGTAACAGGTATTTTATTACTAAGGCAGTTAGTTAATTATCCTATTACATACACTTTACACGAAGCCGTGTAGCGATTCATTTATTCGTCTCTTCTCTCACAGGGTTTCCACTCTAAACTACAGTACCTACAATCATTCTTCCAACAACATTTATCAAACAACTTTCTTTCAATAAATCATATACATTTGCCTATCTATTGAATAGTCTGACTCTCCACCATACACCAAACTATTAAAATTTTATGCAAGTGCTAGAATTCTATTCTAAATGTCTTTGACTTGGCCATTCATAAACTCAGCACCAATTAACATTGTATGTGAATGTTTGTACCTTCCCTCCTTGTGGTGCAGCAGGTCGCTGTGGTTGGTCTAAACGAGCCATTAGACCTGATGAGATAGGTGGCGTCTTCTTGGGGCGGCTAAGGGGCTCCACCTCATCATCATCATACAAGGGTCTAGGAATAATGATCAACATGTTAAAACAAAAACAAAATTATCGACACAAAAATATATAAAGCTAAAGTTTTTGGTTGTGCAAATGTTGAGATTCCTATCTAGATGTTTCACGTGATACAAAGAATGTTTTAATACAAAATATTTTGACTATCAAGAAGGAACTCTAAAACTCCTTGTTGGAACATTGGCACCACCTCACAAGACACATCACTACACCTAAAACACCAACATGTAAACAAGATTCCTCTACATTAACCCAGGTACCTCTTTTTGGCTGGAACTCTCATTGCTAATCTTTCAGGAATTTCAGCAGGAAGCCTTCCTCCAAGTGTTCTAGATGGCAGCCTTGCTGGTAATCTGGCTTGTGGACTCCATTCACTACTATACTGAGGACTGGGTTCCTGTTACAATAAGATACAAAAAATTATATAGTCGATTTTTTCCACAAGTTACACAAATGTAAAAATTATTGTGCGCGCTACACTATGTATTCTCAATGGCTTTCAAGAGAAGAATCAAAAGTAACTGAAACATATATATACATTTGTTTATTTATAATCACACCATTCTCAATTAATCAACTTTTTTTTTATCTTTTATCTAATATTTTTTCTCAAATACTTGCATGTACCATACGGGTTTTCAATAATCTTAACAATAAATGTCAGAATTAATAATTAACACATTGTACTTTGCACTTTTAAGGTTTTTGAAGCTCTTCTTTAAAGAAAATTAAAAAAGATTCTTTTACAAATTTCGGCCTTTTCTACACTTCACCTATGATACGAAAGTCACAATAAACTTTGATAATTTGGTATTAACAGGTTCATGATGAACTCTTACAAATCTTTTGAGGCCACAACGAGTCATTACGCAGCATTGGGTTGTAAACATAAACAAACATCCTAGAAAAATTACTCTGTAATTATTAGCCGTGGTGATTTTCAGCCGAGTTGGTCGTATCTCCTCTAATTCTGGTGACCTTCTTGGACGATACATTTGAGACCGCGCAGTTGACATAATGTCTGACCGCATTCCACCTAGACTCAATCCATAACTTTGTGACAGTGCAGATTCGAGTCGCAATGCCCTATAGGGAGGGCTGCGAGCAGTCAACTTAATCCGTGGAGGTCTCATCTCCTGCTGCCTGTAACTGCACAACAAAATCATTAGGGTGATTAGATGCAAATAGTGCTCCTTATTAGATGTGTTTTTATTATTGGGAATTTAAAAACATGTATTTTTAATACAGTAATGTAAATAAATTTTAAAATTTAAATTGAATTCTTTAGACCTGCTGAAAATTTGTTAATGTCAAATACAAAATTTGTGGTAATTTTTAAACAAACCAATGGTCAGTTTATTCCCTCTGTGACCAAATTTTAAGCTAAATAGCACAATCCACCATCCTTGGTTAACTATACACTAATATTTTAAAGCTGAGCTCAAGCAGGAAATTTAATACATTTGTAAATTTGAAGTTGGGTTTGTAACTACAGTACAAGGTACTTATGGTAAAACATTTTCTAATCAAACTTAATTTTTATACCAGTATCATAATGCAGCCAAATCTCATGTTTCAACAAGTGTCAAATGTGAAGTGGTTTGGCTACCAAAAGAGTGTTGTGAAGAAAGCAACCCCACCCAACTAATTAAGGCTGATGCTCATTAGTCAAAGGAGGCAACAATATTACTGTGCTTTTAATTTGACTAAACAAGGGAATTTTGATGCCGTAGTCAAAATTGTGGCACATTATGATGACCAGACCACACACTAGAATGTGAAGGGACGACGACGTTTCGGTCCGTCCTGGACCATTCTCAAGTCGATTGTGGCACATTATGTGATGATAGACTGCTTAGTGATCATGTGATTATACCCGTCTATCTAAATGAATCATTAGTCAGTCATGCACGATTGCTATCATTGCACTATGCCAGGACACTCTACTTTCCAGCTGTGATCTTCAACTTGCCTTCACATGCTCTCAGTATGCATAAGAAATATTTAAGGATTTTTTTGTTTATAATTCCCAATGACTTATGGAGGGTGACCAAACTTACTTAAACCTCTAGAGCCACATACAATAATCTTCAAAAGTGTTTAACCTGCAAAACACGTTTACACAGTTTTTATCATTATATTGTACACACTTATTATCAATTGTTATATTTAATAACTGTACTCATTAAAATATATATAAGAAAAAACTGTACAACAAAATAGTAGGTTCCCTTCATTCTGACTAGAGACTGTTCAGACAATGTTTGAGATTCATTTGGTAGTAACATGTCAAGTGACTAGGTCTACAGCGAATGAGCAATATTGTATACAAGGTACACACGTTTTTCACTATTAACAGTGCTTTAAAGTCTTTATCCTGAAGATAATATTTTTTTTAAATTTGACATTGTTATTTTCACACAAAAGATTACAATAAAATTTTAGATTAAAAACTTCCATTGCAATTTTATCTTTTGTACAGTACAGCCTGCATTTTAAATGACGTGGAAAATCCATCTGCAAGATCTGCACCACACAACATGTAGTTACACTGCATTGCAGGGTAGTGATCAATATCCACACTTGTCATTCTATATTTGGGCAATATTCATTCTGTAAGTTATATATTGTCAATCCCTTATGCCCAGGCAAGCCAGGAAAATTAAATTTTACATGGTTCTTTGAAAAGTTTGATTATGATGTGCTGGGAGAAATGATACTTTGTGAATGAATAGCCTGAAATGCTATGCAATTAAATTGGATTATACAACCGAGTACATTTATATAAGAAATGAAACTCCAAGCTACCAGGAAATAATAATAAATACCATATTAACAAAAAATAAAACTATACAGTACCTGCTTAATTCTGGATTATAAGAGCTGAATAAATCAGCTTTATCATTCTTGATTGTGACAACATGTGGATTATTTGGCAATGGATGATAACGACTACTGTCACCAGCTCTCGAGAAAGACTGCGTTCTGCCATTGTTAGGCATACTTCGTATCAGGGCACCAGGTCTTGTACGGGCTGTTGTATTTTTCCCACTAATTCCATCCCTGCCAGCCACGGTGCGCAACAAGAAAGCTCCTTGCATACGTGTTTTACCTCCTAAATCTGTCGAGTACAAAATTGAAAGCATTTACACCAACTCCATGTTGCAATGGAAATTATTCACTCGCATACAAACACATTAATAATTTAGAAGAATGTAAAGTCTTTCACACAAACAAATGGAGAATTTGTGTATGTACAAAATAGTGTATAATATACTGGTTGATACCTGGTTACCTGGTTGATGGGGTTCTGGGAGTTCTTCTACTCTTCTACTACTTGACTTGTGAGAGTTTGGTCCACCAGGCTGTTGCTTGGAGCGGTCCGCAGCAGGCCCACATACCCACCACAGCCCGGTTGGTCCGGCACTCCTTGGAGGAATAAATCTAGTTTCCTCTTGAAAATGTCCACGGTTGTTCCGGCAATATTTCTTATGCTTGCTGGGAGGACGTTGAACACCGCGGACCTCTGATGTTTATACAGTGTTCTCTGATTGTGCCTATGGCATACTGTTCACTTGTACAGTGCCATTGTCTTTTGACCTGCATAAGAGATGTATTCTTTGCAAAACTCATTATCAAACACTTTCTTCCATTATACCTGTGTAGCCTTTTGCTACAAAGTTTGTCCTCTCCAGGTGCTCAACCAATATCTTTAAACGCATGAGAAATCCTGCAGAACGGGGCGGAAGTGACATCCATCCGGAATGCAAGCTGCAGCAGCTCCGTCAATGCCGCACGATAAGAGGCAACAACATTTGGCACGAGATGCCAATCCAGAAAAAGCAAAGGACAAGACAACCCTGTTCAACACCAACAAATCTTGACGAAGATAAAGCAAATGGCGGAAAGTTCACCAAGAAACTTTGTACTGTCGCAGAGAAGACGACGGCAAGCGGGATACTATGAAAGACGACACCTGATCCCCATACAAATGGCACTACACATGTGTCAGAAATACGAGACGGGTATTGTGGAGGAGTATTTTAATTTGACTCTGGTCCCCGGTAGGCAACAAGAACTCTGCGAATGATGACCCCTAAACAGTATAGTATTATATCAGTATGGAAAGCTTCGGGAAGCTGACAGGGCTCCCCACAGAAAATAAATGCAATAGACTATTTACCCTAAAGTAATTTTTTGGTATTCTTACCATGATGGGTTGTACTTGTAAGTTATGAAGAAGCTTTAAAGGTGAGATGCTGAAGTGCCAGGTTCACTTGAACCTGATGAAGAAGGTTCAATGACTAAATTTGAGAGACCGATTATCTGGTTCTGTGAATGCAACGTATCTGGTTCTGTGAACCAGAGTATCTCGGGATACAATTCTCCAGTTTATTCCATCTGTGTTGTAGATTTCTAAAGATAATTTTTTTCTGTTGACTATCTCCAGAAATTGTCTATATATGCAAGTACACCAGTACTCTTGGCAGATTGCCTTTCCCCTATGACCTTTTGACCCGTCCGATTCATAACAGCAACCATGAGCGGGAAGATCCTTACCCTTCTTGTCCCATTCTTTGGTGTGATCTCTCTTAGCTCTACAATACTACAAGGTGCAGTGCATTTCTAATTTGCCTAATTTTGGGTGAATTCTTCAATCTTTCCTTTGTTGGATTAGAGATGTGTTCCCTGAAAAAATAATAGTCTTTTTGCCGACTAAATTTTCTCGCCATGTTTCTTTCCCATCACGGAGGTCATTCCATATATCAATATATGTACCCAACACACATGCTTGAAATCTTCAAGTATTAGAACCTTAGACCTAGGTCCACCACTTGCTACTGTCTGGCAAGGACTCATTTATTTGGCTATAAAGTTTTTTGTTTCTTACTTCAACCCTTTCATCTTCTAGTTGTCTTAAGTCTACAGCTTTCTTTACATGTCCTAGCATGCATACACTACAGAGGTTTCAATAACTTATCAAGTAGTACAGCAAGTAAAAAAAATCTCAACAGTATAGATTTCAATATTTTAGGTAGGTGGTCGCTATGGAATATATCGTTAGCAATAAACTGCTGCTGTCTTTAATAGTATCTGCTGTAATAATTTAAAATATAAATCTGTAATGGTTAACATGATGCCTTATTGAGAGTACAACTAACCTGATGGGCGGTTTTCATTTCGTATGATTTTTTCCACAACGGTACCAGTATTCTTCCATGCAGTTGGGACCTGTAAATAATGACATACATTACTGCAGGAAATATCAAGCTCCATACAAAGTGCATAGTTAAATAACAAATTTAATATAATGTCAACATGAATAATTTATTGAATTATAGGCATTTTACACTAAAATATCCTTATCCCATTGATCTGTTGTACTTTTATATACCCCTTGACATAACATTATTACCTGGTATCCCAATTTTATATGGTGGGGGAGACACCAGCCCCGAGACCAAGAGAGAGCAATATAGCAAAGGTTTATAGATACTGTATTAGAAAAAATTGCATTTACTGTGTCCAATGACTATAATAACCACATTATATAATACTGCAGGTAAACCATTACTACCAAACCATGCCTCATCCATAGCTGTGCACCACTATCATATTATCAGGTGCAGTATTCATCAAGTTGCACTTCAGCTCTCTGGTTCAGCCTCACAACATTCAATGTGGTGTACAGGTTTCCTGTGCTTTAAGATTCTGTATGTACTGTATATGTGAAGCTGTGTATGGAGTTTATTTCGACCACTATATTTGTTATTTTAGGAGGATGGGTCCCTGGAGCCCCTCCTCCAGGGCCCATCTAAATTCATAACATGTATTAAAACAATACAAAACATGAAATTCTTACTTTTTTTATTCTGTTGGACACGGTGCCTGTCTTTTTCCTAATATTGTTAATCTTGTCCCTGGCATCTCCCTGTTTGGCAATTTCTGCAAGGCGGTCTCGAGCATCGGGAAACCGCATTCGTTTCTTCTCAATAATTCTGTTCCTTGCGTCACCGACCACCTGAAGAAATTCTGCCTAAGAATATGCACATTACTTTTAAAATAAACTTAATGCTAATTACAAAAAATAATTATACTAATATACAGTGATACCTCAGCACTCGAACAGCTCCGAGCTCACACAATTTGGCGCTTAAAACACTTCATGCTAGAAAAAATAATGCTTGGTAATTGACCGTTTGCTTGGCACTCAACAGTACAAGTGCATGTTATGATACACGACAGCTGAGAATCGTCTTCAGGAGGAGATAGAAGAGGAAAGGGAGGACGCTTCTAGCTGTGGCAAACTCTGTTATAAGTCTGTTGAATAACAATGTTATGTCTCACTTCAGAACATTTTAAAATGCAGGCAAAAACAAATATGAACTTTGAGACTCCCCTGCCAAACAATAACATCTCTCCTCCTCCTCTTCACTACCTTCCATATATACAGTACCATCAACTCTCCTAGGTACAGGTAAAGCAAGAATAAATTTGCATTTATTTCATCTATTTATTGTATAATTCATGCAGGCAAGGCTTGTAAAATTAAGTTAAATTCAAGTAAAAATGTTTTTATAAATATTTTTTTTGGAGTCTAGAATGAATTAATCCAATTTACATTATTCTTATGGGGAAAATTATTTGGCACTTTAACATCAATCTGGAAGGTATTAAGTTCGAGTACGGAGATATCACTGTATAAAAATTGTAATTACAGTATCTATATTCTGTATGTTGAAACTCAACTACACACCTGAGGCTCAATTCCCAGATCTGAACAAACTGACTGATACAGGCGACCTTTAGCAAGTGGCCGACCTCTTCCTATGGCGCCATTCACATCATTTCTGAAAATGAAAGAAAGTTTTAAGCTTGTAAAATGCATAAGGGCTATTTCCATGACAGATCATGCACAAACAAAATTGACACTCAATTATCCTATAAATTGGACTACTGTTTTCAATCAACCCCCCCAAAAAAAATCTTGAGATAAACCCCCAATTTTTTTTAGATAAATCCAACATTTTGTTCGAAAGTTATGCCCCCCCTCCTTCCTATTTTGGAGTTTCACTGGAACACCCCATTTTCAAATTCACCTCGCTTGGCTCCTAACTGAGATAGAAGGCCAATTCAAAGTGCATTTGAAAGACAATCTTTAAAATCTTAAGCCGGTATTGTTATGAGGAACACTTAGAATTTAAGTAAAAACATTATGGCAATTTTGTAAATATACTAATGTAAATTTATTACATGTACTTAGTTTCAGCTAGAAATATGAAACACAGTATTCTTAACTGAATATTACTGTATAATAAAGAAATATAAAATATAAAGTAAGAGGCCTGGTCAAAGACCAGGCCGTGGGGACATTGAGCCCCGAAATCATTCGCAAGGTAATCGCATAGCTACAATTGATATATACTGTACATGCAGAGTACTTTTAATTTTTTTCATGCAATTTCTAATAGCGTGTTCATACTTAACTAATCTTAATTGGATGAAATAACTCTTAGGGGGATACAGTAATTAAACTGGATATTGGTTGAATCATATCTCATTTTACCCAGCAAATATTTTCCCTTTCCTGAAAACTATATGTATTTGGTTCTCCTAGAGATCTTAGAAAATGGCCAAGAACTTGAACTTATTAAGTTTCTTATTCCACATAACCTTTTAACATGAATTTATTTGGGTTAAAAAGATAAAAAATTCCAATGTAAATTCCTTCAGAATACTAAAGACATTTAGGTAATCAGAATCTGAATTACCAAGCTCTTACTGTACAAATTTTAGTGCTCACTACTAAGAAAGAGTTCTGCTGTACTCTACTATGGATAAATCTGTTCTACTAAGACAGAATCGAGTCTAAATATACACTCAAGACATAGAATGCAAGGATATTACAAGTTTCATGTGGGTTAGCAGCATAAAGGGGGATATAAGTAGTTTTAAAACTGTTCAAATATGATAGAACCCACAACAATAGGTACATGCTGGAAGTTCTGGATTTAAAATAGGGTTATGGTCGAATGGAATAGGCTGCCACCTAGTATTATTGAGACAAATATTCACAGATTTTAAGAATAGATTCAATAGGTCTACAAGGGGTGAGCAAGTGGATTTTAATGGTTCTTACCTAGTGTGAATAGGGTTTATTAACCACCAAGCGTTTCACCCATCAATGCCAGTAATACTTTTCAAACACACGTACCGAACTAAAAAAATTATGCTTTGTATATATTTAATACAAATGAGGCATGACATCACTGACATAGAATAAATTGTTGGATGCTTCTCCCTGGTATATGGCCAATATGTCTGCTACAGTGCTTCATAATTCTTAAGTTCTCTCACTCAATATATAGTAGGAAGTTATTGTATTTAAACCACAATTTTTTTGTATAAATCCCTGGTATTTTCTTCTTTATGGGACATGGCAGTTTGCACGAAGGTTTTTTCCTCCCGAGTACTTTCTTGTAAATAAATAAATCTGGCACTGCCCCCCTTGCTGTTGGGTACCCTGAACCACACTGGCTCCTCACACACCTTCACATATCCCACTTACTGTACACAAATCATATGCATCATTAATAAATCTAATACACGATATTATTATACATATACACTTCTATAAATTACGCCTTGCAATATTAATTTCTGGTCGACTTAAAACAGCCCGAGAAACACGACTTGCACATGAACACGATCCTGGCTGGAAACACTTCAATATACCTCCACCGATGGTGTTGATGGCCCATATGAATACCTCAACAGCTGGGCCCTTATGTCACGCATCTTATACACCTAGGCTCATGCCCCATACCTATTTCCTTGTGTAGTTCCAGGACGAATATTCCTCTGCTTGATAATGTCATCTAAGCTTGCGTCGGCCATGTTTGTTTGTGGCAGCGATAATAGCAGTCAAGCGAGGCTACCTCACCGGCGTCTCGCCAAATTATAAAAAATAAATCAAGACAACCCAGCGGTTACTGGTTATTTTATAGTGTAATTTAAGGAGAGTGGAAGACCTTGCAGAGAGGATTTGGGGAATGTTTAGCTGGGGTTGACACAAGAGCTCATGTGATTGTTGTTGTTTTGGTGGCGACAACGCATTTTAGGCCGTGGCTCAGTCGCCTCCAGCACTCACTATGTCCAACGAGGAGAAGGAAGGTGATTATTGCCTCACGCTTCGTCTGGCTACACGCACTAACTGCTTCCTCTCGATTTTGACGTTGATAGACTGAAGGGATGTGGTAGTGAGCCGCTAATAATGAGAGAGCCAGGTATTGCAACAGATGATTGTCATGGCAAGGTGATCAGCTGTTTTGATGCCAAGGTGCGTGGAGGCGGCGAGGGAGGCAGCCAGGGCAGGTCACTGCCAGCCTTCCACCTCTGGGATGGTTCTCTGGTGGTGGTTGTGGTCATCTTAATGCACGGAAACCCTTACTACACCCCTCGGTATTTTCTAGAAGGATGTGATATAGGACAATTTTATTTTAAGTCTAAATTTTAAGTTATTTTACCCTGCGGGTAGACTAACTTGAATACTGATAAAAGTAGGCCCTAATACATTTCATGTTCAATATTGTGTATATATACATTGCTTCCAAGTTAAATATTCACAGGGTGTATGATGGATAACACCCTTAGTCAAAATTTAAAATGAATATAGCCAAATAAAAATTAGCAGTGTTGTTTACTTTTGGACTTGTGTAGTTATGTCCTATCCCATATACTGAAGATATGTGCCATTACTGGGTAGAGGTCATTTGGCGTGCAACTCTGGGAAACGGTTGGAGGATGCTGGTGGGTAAAGTTTTATTAATTCTAATTGAAGGGTGTGTGGAGACTTTGGGTGCCACTGTTCCTTACTCACAACTGGTTTCTTTCAGGGGTTCTATCTATCTACTGGAGTTGACACTGAAGCAGCTCAAGACTGGTGGCTCTACTAATCAGTCAGCATTATGACCATTTCTGTTAAAAATAACTTCTGCTCGTATGGGATTTAAACACCTGTTACCTCTGAAAGAATGAGCTAACCATACATTTTATTTCAAACAATTAGTCAAAATATTTGACTATTTATTCTTGCTTCCTGCTTTTTTTTTTTTTTTTTTTAATACACTAGTACTTTGTTTAGTTTTAGAGCTGAATATTAGCTTTCCATTTTTCATACTTAAGTACTGTATAGACTTATTTGTTATTTTCTTAAATTTTCATGAGGTGGAAGGAATTAACCTGGAATAGAGTAGCATAGGAAAAGTGATGAATGACTATCATTTCAGTGCAGATCACCATTCTTATCCACTTAACATAAAATATAGGAAAAACAAGATTAGAGATTTTTTATTTTCATTGGCAGGAATTGATTAATTTTTCTTAAACTTAAATTACTGTAAAGATATTTCAATTGAACAGTAATTCTAGCTATTCTTTATTTGAAGAGAGGAGACTAGAGCCAGAGGAGAGAAGACAGTTTTATTTTTGTTTAAATTCTTCAATCTGTTCACTCTGGATCGAAACTATTGTTATTCGCAATTGGGGACTAGGGAACAGGATATTTCACTAGGGGTGACCTGGAAGGAATTAACACTAATGTGTATGCATACTTTGTACATTGAAGTTGTATTTTAAGCAAAATTTTCTTCTCATACAGTAACCAGTAGTGATGAGAAATCTAACAGTAAGGAGTGTGAAAGCAGCAAGACGCACGCAGATAGTTCTTGTGAAGCTGATGGTGCCACATCAAATAGTCGGCCGCAGAGTTTAGAAGAAGCCGTGCAACCTGACACAAACGAGATTAAGCCAGATACTCAAGTGAGTATACAGTACCTATTATTAAATGAATGACTGGATATAACAAAGGGGATATTAACAAGATGTTAAATATATAAAGACAAAAGTTACATGAAACAATGGATACAAAGCTGGCATGTTTAGATTAAAAAAAGACCTGATCTGCTATTGGTTTGGTAACAGAGTTGTTGATTTATGGAACAAATTACTGGTTAATGATAGAAATGGGATCGTTGGATTGGTTCAAGCAATGGTTCAACATATGTGAATGAGTTTGCGCATACTGTATATAAGTAGGAATTACTTCACATTGGCCACTAGGCCTGCAGTTTCATGTATTCTTGTGTTTGTTCCTTATTTACAATATACTGTGTATGTTCACATACATACAAGGCATAATATTTTCCTTGTACAAACACAATGATTAAATTTTTGCAAAATATTCCAAATTTACTTTTGTTACATCTTTTCCATTACAGTATTCTTATAATAGGGTTATATACTGTATACATATTGAACTTCCATATCCTTTATTTGATGTTCTTAATAAACGAATTGTACACGGCAAGATTTAGTAAGGAATTCTTGTGGATAATTAGTGTTATGTGGGATTCCTGTAAATGTGGAAATTTTGGAGCATAATTTAAGTAGCTACTACATTATTTTTAATGTAGTTTGCTACAAGTCTGTACATCTGGATATCATAATTTTACATACATTCAAAATAATATTACAATGTTGTGATGTAGAAGCAAGCATTTCCACTGTAAAATTGGGCCAGGCTGCGACAGTAGAACAAATCAGATTTACTACAGGTATTCGTAGAGTCCATCGGGGCCATAAATGTACTACCTTTTGGCTCTCATTTGGGACATGTCGGTAGCTCTTTGACAAGTTTACTTTGCTAACACTTCCCAATTTACTTTTCAATACAGTCCTCTAATTGTGGCATTTGATATGAATCATCTCTGATGTAAAGTTAAGTTTTCTATAACAAATGCAATATCCTAAGATACTGTACCAACAAGATTTGGCAGTAAGATACATGGTACCTGCTCTTACTTTGTCCAGGTTGTTTTGGTAGGAAAGGCAGTTATCCTAGTCTCAGACTATCTTACAATTTAGTTTCTTCTGCAAATATAAGTGAGAATTGCTCTTGTAATGTCCCATCTGTCATGTGACGTTTTGAAATTACTTACGGTTTTGACATCCACTGTCTTCTCATTCAACATTTTCCAATCATTTAGCCATCTGCCAAATGTTGCTCCATACACTTTTGTCCAGGTTATCTTGACAAGCATGACAATTGTCTAAGTTTATTTTTTTTCTAGTAGCTTAGCATCATCAGCAGACATGTTCATATAATTCCGTATTCCCTCTGGTTGCTTGCTTACATAGACAGTGAACATTACTGGTGCTAGAACTGAACCTTGTAGTACTCTAGTATTTTTTTACAATTATTGACACTGCATTCCATTCTGTGATGCCCCAAGCCCACTTGGCCAGAACTGTTCTACTCCACATGCTGGAATATTTGACAGGAAAGGCCCAGGTGCACTGCACACACAGTTCTGAGAAAGCAGAGTTGCTCTTTACTGTGTATATACTGTATTTTGCACTCATAATACATTTTTCTCTTCTCCAGTCTGAAGCCCTACCATCTGGGGAAGCGGTAAGCTTTAAACTTGTCTATAATAAGACAAAATATGATATAGAATTTCCTTTAGACGGCACAATCAAGCAGTTAAAGGAACACCTAAGTTCTATAATTAGTGAGTATTTTTGCAGCATTTCACTTGGGTACATGCAAGTTTTCTTAGCTTTGCTCTGTTGTGTAATGAAGACACGTCTATAATTGAAATAAAGTCAATAAGTAGTGTCATGTACCTGGTATTGCTTTCAAAGTTAACAAGTTTGATGAAATTTGTTGAGATGCACATGACTGATACCAATGAAGAATGACATTTAAAATTAATGTGTGTATTTTGTCAAAATAAAATTTATTAATGTACAGAAGCATATTACAGCACAGTATATAGAAACATGTAGCTCCATATACTGAACGTATAATTTTGTATCTTTTTTTAGACGTGTTACCAGCAATGCAGAAAGTAATGATAAAAGGGCTAGCAAAAGATGAGAAGACACTTCGAGAATTGGGTGTGACGCGGGGGGCTAAAGTTATGGTTGTGGGATCTAAGCTCGACGATGTTGTCAGTGTCAATACTCCCAAATCCGATGTAAGATTGCATTAACTTTTACACTTCTGCTTGTATCAAGGCAGACTGGTATTATGTATTAGTAAACCCACCTATTTATTAACTTAATACTAATAATAAAACCCTTCAGTGCAGGCGATGAGTCACAATAACGTGGCTGAAGTATGTTGACCAGACCACACACTAGAAAGTGAAGGGACGACGACGTATCGGTCCGTCCTGGACCATTCTCAAGGCGATCAAGTCGTCCTGGACCATTCTCAAGGCGATCAAGTCGTTCTGGACCATTCTCAAGGCGATCAAGTCGTTCTGGACCATTCTCAATCGACTTGAGAATGGTCCAGGATGGACCGAAACGTCATCGTCCCTTCACTCTCTAGTGTGTAGTCTGGTCAACACAACCCTTCAGTGTTCAGAATTATAAAACCTAACATGGCATTTTTATCTAAAGTGCATGAACTATTTTTTTATTTTCCTATAGTTTTGCTCTCCTCCAAGGTCATACAATACTTTAAAGTGGAATTGTTAGATAAGGAAAAGTATACCTGTAAATTGAGATATGCTTGAATTCTTATTTTATTGAAATCATGTAGAAACTAATTAAAGATTTAAGTCATACAATGCAAGTACAATAATGTAATGTTTGGAAGGCACCAGCTGGTACCCATAATAGAACTGGATTATGGGCATTCTGAACTCCAGGTAAGCCTAGGAAAATTTGTGGTTAAGACATGTTTAAGCTCATCATGGTACAGTAAGTTGGGTGTGTTTCTGGGCATCCAGAGATGCAAGTTTAATCTCTCCCATAGCCATAATACTTTCTTCTATTATAATTTGATCAGTAGAATATCTGTAATGTATTTTTACATATTTTAAACATTAAAATACATTATTTCTTACCTGTAGAGCTCATCCTCTGAGAAGCCAAGTACCACCACCACCACAAAAGAACCTCTCAGCAAACAAAAACTTCATCGTAAGATCCTTGATAAAGGGTTACCGGATGATGTTATGCCAGGAATTAAGAACAGTAAGGTACCACTATGAGAGAGAAAATTGTGCATGTTAAAATAGTGTACCAATCTAAATTTATATATTGTGAAAATATCTGTATTGCATAACTTGTGAAGCTATTAAGCACATTTATGAGTAGTGACTTGGTCGATTCCTAAAGAAAATACCATCCTAACCCTAGGATGGGTCTATGCTGAATCAGGGCAGGTTGACTACATCAACACAGCATAAAACTTTTCAAACTATCCATGTTGGGTCATATTGGTGCTAAGAGAGAGTGGAGAGAGTTAGTCAGCACATCATGTCATCCAAACCCCACCAGTAAGTGGGAGTTGGTTGGGGCTTGCCGAGTACTGTAAGTGGCATTTGCGGCTAATTTCTAATCTCGGTACGTCCTGGGTTGATGGGGGGGGGGAGGTGTTAGTTCCTATGATCAGTAATTATCTCCTGACTCTAAGGCCAATACTATACACAAGCTCTACAGGGGTGTGATGTCTAGTTCTTCAGATCCCAATAACTCCCTCTGCAGCCTCCAGCATTCCTCTATATTTTTGGGTACAAGATCTTTCTTGCCCTTGTGTATGGATGATCTTGTCAGAACCTCCTTCTTGAACTGTGGTTTACATTGCTTTTGTTTAGTTGCAGGCTCAAGAGCCGAAGTGTTGGTGCTGGCAGTCCCGCCATTGGCTTCTGTTGGCTTCTTGCAGCTGTCTTTCTCTTCTTTGTTAGAAATTTGTTGAGTCTTTGGTACTCGCCATTTGAGTCATTACCCTAACGTCCAACTCTGCCACTATTGAGCAGTTGAAGCCGCTCGGCTTTACAGCCTTTTTTGGCTGTGGCTTCTTAAATATGTTGACCAGACCACACATTAGAAGGTGAAGGGACGACGACGTTTCTGTCCGTCCTGGACCATTCTCAAGATGATTGAGAATGCCTCATCGCCTTCTTAAATATAATTGGGTGCTAGCATTGTGTGTGGAGGTGGGGTCAAAGACTGGTGCTGATGGGTCAACCCCTCTTCCCTCTTGAGGTTTTGCCAGGAGGCAGTGAGCCCAGAGAGTTGCCCCTTCCCTTTTCCGGCTTTTTGCCCCCCCCCCCCCACAACCCCATCCCTCTTTCCTTGGGAGACCTCAAAGTAACATCTGTGGGGCATTGGTCATTGTCCTGACTTGAGTTGGTCTCTAGCTCTGGAGTCTATGCTTTTCAGCAGTGGTGATTTTCCTGTTTGAGTTTCCCATTACATTTTTTTTTTTTTTATTTCTTAGACCCTTGTACTTGAACATTTATTATTTTACTGTATTACCATTTTACAAAATGCTGTGTATGCAGTACACAGGGTAATGGGAGACACACAATTTCTTTAACCATTATGCTGGAGGTGTGGTCCATTATGCTTACCTTCAGGTTAGGACTTTGCACAATTTTTGTGATCATTTGGCTTTCTTATTAGACTTCAGTCATGGTTTTCTCTCACCTGTCCTTGCCTTTTGTTTGGACAGCATTCACCTTGAACTCTTGTCTTGGCTTTTGGGCTTCTTTTTGCACACTGCTATGGGACAGTGGTAAGGTCACTTGCATTTGGCCATGACATTCTCTGTGCTTTCCCAGTTGAGTGTACTACTCCAAGGAAGTACTTTTGATAATGCACTCAAATCTTCATTTAAAATAATTTTGTTATTCAAAATTCAAATGTTTGTGTTATTGTAGCATGTAATATCCAGATGATACATAGAAAAAGTATGCAGTGATTAATTAATTTTTGTATTTACATTACTAAACTCAGTCTTGTGTACAAAGAAATCACATTAATGTGATGTATCAATGATAATTTTTTCAAACCCATTCTTATTTTTGGCTGTAACATATACAGTAAATAATAATCCAACCTTTATCATTCAACTGCTGGAAAAGACCTTTCCCAGTGATAGGGAGATTGAATCAATAAAATAATGTTTTGGGCTCTACAATAATGTCGTTTTTCAAGCCCAAGCTTTCTCTAGGACAAGAAAATTGTGACCATGTGATTCTCTCTCCATTCGGAATTCATACTAAATGGTTTCTGAACCTGATTGGACACCGTACACATCATTCCCTGTGATTCTAATAAAACTCTTTATTCTAGTCTAATATTAATGCAAAATTTCTTGTTTTAATATGCTAGTATTCTTCAGGATGTCTTGCCATCGTATCCATTATCTGGAATGGTTAACAAACACGGAGGAAAAGTTCGACTTACATTTAAATTAGAACTAGATCAGATATGGATTGGCACTAAGGAACGCACGGAAAAGATCAACATGAACCACATCCGGCAAGTTGTTTCAGAAGCAATAGAAGGTCACGAACAATATCACATAATGGTAAGAAATGTTTTAACATTTTAGACTTAAACTCTATATTAAAGTCATTTATATCATTGTGAATAAAGTATTTTTTTTTTTTTTTAGCAAGGTCCCCTTTGATGGCATTCCCTTCAGGTTTGTTGAAGGTGACCCTGCAATGCCAACGCATGTCTCGCTACCCTGATAGTACAAATCGTGTCTCTTGTACCCAGTTTGATCTTAACTTGGGAAGTAATTGAGTAAAAAGGTTTTCTTAACGGCTAGCTTTTTTTTTATATTGCTCTCCAATCTTTGGGCAAGTGCTTGTCTATCCTGTGCCAACGGGAAATGAATTGAACTATCAGGGGGAAGCGCCAAGCAATTACGACTGCAGTATATAGCACTTGGAAGGGATCAGGATACAGAAATGATGGTGGTGGTATTTTACTTTGAAGATTGTGTAATGTACCTTTTTCACCCGACTTCTGTCTGATAGGTAAATATTATTTACTCACAATTATTAAATTAATTGTATCAGCTAAGACTGCAAATATTGTATTTTTTTTTTTTTTTTTTTTTAGGGACTGCAGCTAGGACCTACAGAAGCCTCACGCTACTGGATCTATTGGGTTCCTGCACAGTATGTTGATGCCATCAGAGAGACGGTTCTTGGCAAGTGGTAATATTTAGGGGACATTAGGGTTTTCATCACCAACACATTTTTATTGGTTCACAAAAATCATGTAATTTTGCCTTAGTAAGAGCAGATGGAACTTAAGGAGCCTGCATTAGCACTGAACATCAGAGATAGGAAAGTTGGTAAAGCATGCCAATAAGACTTGATATATTACCCTTCATGGCAGTGTGCTTTGCTTGTTCTTTGCGTTGTGCATTTTGAATTGAATTCAGTTAGATGGATGACAATTTCTCTTGTTCTACCCATTTTCATATTTCAATTGCTTCAATGTTTATGGCTTGAAATATATGTACACGTGCCATGCAAGTTCTTAAAGACGGTAGCGCGAGAGAAGTGTGTGTGTGTGTGTGTGTGTAATAGTTTATTGTCGGAGGCTGAAAGTTCCATCTGCAATGCTCGGGTTGTTATTGGCCATATGGGGGTGAAGGATGAGAGTTGTGTTGGGCAAGGTGATTTTTGAGAAAGCTTTCCACATGTTTAATATTGCTCATATTGTGAGAGGATTAGGGCCAAGATTTTTATCACATGGTGCTTAAGAAATAAATAATTACAAAACAAGGCTTAATCTAACATAACAATATAAAGAATGTATCACAAGTTGCAAAAGAGGAAAATAATATAACAAAGTCGCTGAGAAGGAAAAGTTATAAATTAGTGTTTTTTTATATACAGCATTACTTTGTGCTGTGATAATTTCAGGGAAATAGAATGATTATGGAAAAGTGTAAAAGATTGACACTAAAATACCTGAATTGAAGATTTTTGTACCTTAGCTTTCATCAACACTGGTCTTTTAGCATGTGCTCTTAAGCTGAAACCTAAATAACTTCTGTGCAGAATTTATCTAAGTAACCTAATAAATATTTTTTGCACCTTGTACATGTTTTGTCCCACCAAGCATTTTCTAAAAATATCATAAGTCTATTACCTTCTATGAAATATGCAGGCGATGAGTCACAATAACGTGGCTAAAGTATTCTATGGTTCTATGAAATAGTGTTAATGGCTATTTTTTGGTTATTTATAACCTCAGAAAAGTACTGCACTATTTTATATAATGTATATGTAGAGGAAAACCGAAATAAATAGGAAGACCGTGTGGTAGTAACTACTGTGAGAACATGGTGCAGCCCACGTTTGATACCAGTACTGTATTTTAAGAAAATATACAATTTTGATGCAAGCAGGTAATGGCACTAAAGATAAGTATTCAGAGCTAATTATTTATGACGATGATTACAGCAGGGTGCAGTGGGACATGCTTAAATAAATTGTGCAAAGAAATCCAAGGGCAAAAATATCTGGCGAGATGTGTAATAAAATCTGGGAAGGTGAAAAGTATTCTGTGTATAATTACTGATACTATAATGCTGCCTTTCAAATTTGTGTTGTGTACTGGCAGCAGCTGTCATTAGCTAGCATTTGCATTAAGAGCTTGCCAGAATATGTAGCTTGTGTATCCATGTACAGTATTCAGACCTACAGTCCATGCTTAGTTTCTCTTTAGTACTAATGTAATTCTTTGATGTTGACATTAAATGTACTGTACTGCACTGAACTTAAAATTGGGCATTAGAGGGAAGATATTTTTATGGGCAGTTGGTTACATTGACATTTAAAAGGTAATGTATGTGTATAAAATATATTTATATTTAAAGAGCTTCTAGTTACATAAACATTTAAATACAGTACCAAATTTCAGTGATACAAACACATTTTTTATCAGGATATTGAAGTTTATTTTGTATCCATTTGACACACACACAATTAATGATTGGTGCAATTATAATTGTGCTGCCTCTTGGTAAGTTCTGCTACATTATTAATGTATATGGCTTATTACTCTGGTCATTCCTAGACATAGTAATTCAGTTATATAGGCATATGTTGCAATTGACAAAGGTCATTAGTGCAACTAAAGTCTACTGTTGATAGAAAGTGGATATTGATGCATAATATATTCAGACTTGCTGTAAGGATTAAGCTAATATTAACTTTAAATATTATTGTAATTAAAATTTGGACAATTTGTGAATGGGTTTGTACTTGTGATATAGGTTTAATGAGTAACACTTAGTAAGTGCATTCTTTGGTACAAGAAATTCAAAGGTATTCCAGATTAATATTTAGTGGCAAAATTTTTGAACTGACTGGTTAATGGAAATATTAAAGTTAAATAATAATTTAAGAGGTGGACATCTTATCACAACAATATTATGTACTCTAGTTAGATGTGAACATGGAACAATCATCACTGACACTCGGGTGAAAGAGATTTATATGTGCAAATGGGACTTATTATTGCCTTTATTGAAGTACATTTTAAATAATTTAGCTTCAGCCAATTTCAAAGATGACTAGGAAGCATGGAAAAATATACAGATTTGTATGAATTAGGCAAATAGTAAGAGTAGACTAAAGCTTTAATACTAGAAATGACTCGAAGTATATTGGGTATGTGCAAATATTCACAGATAACAGGCATACATAAACACTTCAGCATGCATAATAAAATTGGTGTTTTTCACTTCACTTTTCAGAGGTAAATGCAATTATTATAATATAAAGTTCTTAATTTTGTACTGTATATCATAATGACCTGTTGTACAACATGGTGACTGGTGAAGGACCTAAACCCATGCGGAGATTTCTGTAGTATTTCTGCAAATATTTACTCGTTAAATCTGTCCTGCCTTAACCTACCTCCCATTTTCTTTTAAATGTTTGTGGCCTTTGCATGCAGTCTTAACACCTCTTCCCACATGACCATATTAAAGATTTGTAACACTTGCAAGAGTGAGCGTGTCTATCTTTGAAGCCTGTCAAGCACTTCACCCAAGCACATATAACGGTACAATACTTTATTTTCATGTAGAGATTAAATACCAGACAGAATAAGCCTTGTTTTGCATTTTTGTATTGTTAACGGATGACTTTGATAATATAAGTCGTTTGTTTGTATGCAAATGATAAATACCATATATTGTTCTATCCTGGCAAATGGAACTTGCAACTTCATTGCTTCTTGTGACATGAATTTTGTTTAATTAATATTGAACATTTAGTGAGATGATAGTGACTATGCAGTAAATATTAAGGAAAAGAATGTAAATACAATTGTCATTGATGAAATGGGTAACTTGTGTATGGCGGTATGGAACTGTGTACATGGTAACTGCTGCGATCGGCAGTTAGGTCGAAAAGCTGTGTCCTATGGTTTGTGTTAAAAGAATTACTCCTATTTTTGCACCTTTTATATATCTAATTGTCTGCACTTTCAAAATAATTGTGATTGCAGCTACTAGACAGACTATATCTAATAGTGATGTTTAGTAAATAAGCAAATATACATTTTATTTGTATTGTGTGTTTATATACAAAAATATGGGAATACGTCTATGGTCTAATTCAAATCATTCTGAACAAAATGATAGCCCGAATAGCAGCATACATTCTACATTTTTGTATGGGAAAAGCTTTGTAAGAAAAAAAAATATTTGTTTCTTTCCAAGAAAATACAGCTGTTCATCCTAGATTTTAGTTCTATGAATCATGACTGGCAAGTGTAGAATCTTGCTTTGTTTTGCAAATGGGAAGCTTTTCATAAAGATTTAAGAAGCCCATAAAAGGTGCGAAGAAAACTGGTAAGCCCGAGTCTGTGTTTGTGTTGGAGGACTACGTCTTTTTCTTTGCTCAAAGGTACACTGGACAAGAGTGTTCGAAAGGATTAGAATATTCATAATAGTTTTTATTAGCATATACCTTGTTTGCTTTGGGAGGGGGATCTGAAATTTTCAAACTGATTCGCTTGTGAAGTTTTCTTTTTGCAGTACATACTGTGTACAGAATACGAAAACAATATTGCAAATATATTTACTGTTGTTTTCTGTGCTAATTTTCATGTATTTTGTGTAAAACATTCATTTTTTTCTTTAACTAATTTGTGCCGTGCTTGGCATTTATCAATAATTGTGTAGTATATCATATAGTTTTGATATTTTCAGATTACGGGGAAGGTTTCTGTGGCAATTGTTAAATTTTTGTACAATAAAGAGATTTAATAACAATAGATATATATATATAATACTTTTTCTGATAAAATCTGAGTACTATACTGTAGACTACCAAGTAACCATTACCACTGTGAAGAATTCAAAGGATCGTGAAAGTCCCTTTAAAAATTAGGCCGATTCTCTCATTTACAATTTTTTTGGAAGACATTTAACTACTGAATAAACTATGCGTATAATCATTCAAAATTGGCAAGTATAAGCACATCTGCATAATAATATGGAGAAGAGTGCATTTATTGTTGTGCTAAAAACCTGATTTGTACCAAGCTAAATGAATTTATCTTTCATGACTGGAAATAGTTAATACACAGTACCATATGAGAAATTAGTTTAATAGTCATGGTTACTGTGTCATGGAACTCATCTGTAGATAGTCCCTCTTACTGTCGGTTTGGCAAAAATAGTATCATTAATTTTGTTAGCTTCTTACTGGTGATCATTTCTAACTTGACTTGTCATCCTCTTAAGATTAGGTTTTTGATAATTACTTATAAGATTAGCATACAGCTGCATCTAGTCAGGGGAGGAACCCATATTTATGACCAGGCTGGCAGCAATTACTACGTTTATCTCTGGCATATACAATCGTATTGCCACTTGGTCACGTCTATTAGAGGGTTGATAGCTTCGTCTTTGAAATGAGTTGTAATGAAAGATTTATCAATGTATTGATAATTTGCTACCCTGGATGGAATATAAAACTAATTTATATACAGGCTGTGTAAGGCTAGATATGATAAATACTGTGTGTTTAATTCAAGAAAGCTTCGATATTATTAATCCAGATGTTGGTGTTTCAAACAATATGTATATCTTACTGAATCTGTATCAGAGTAGCAGACAAACGGCTGTAACTTTGGGGTTTTGCTATGCCTTGCTACAAAATTATCATGGCTATCTGTTTTGGTTGCTCAAGGAAGGACTGTTGTAATTGTTTAACCCCGTGTCTATGCATTCTCAAGCTTTACATTGTCTATCACAGATTAAACAAACTTGTGCTTCCTTCTTCCCTTTTATTTTTATTCATATTTTGTATAGAATTTCAAAATTTTGCCCTTAACACTTTCCTAATTTTACTGTTAGCCATTTAGACATCACACACAGTATCAAGTCAGAACCATAAAAAGAAAGAACTTTATATAAAATTATAACTGAATGCAAGATTGAGGTGACAATACAGTACAGTACTAGGTTATAATAAATAATATACAGCAGCTTTCATACCTAGTCTCCAAACTTTCAGCTTTACTTGATCATAGTTCTTCAAAACCTTGTCATTTGTTACACCTGCTCAGAATTCAATAACAAATTCAAAGCATTAATGTGTAGTAGTAGGCATCCTTCAGTCTCCGGAGACTATGGAGTTGCGCCCTAGTTGTCAATTCTGGTGCAGCGTCTGGTGTGACTGATGAGGCCAATCCGAGAGTGGCAGTCCTTCCCACACCGAGCACAAACGAAGTCCGATTCTGGTCTGTCTTCCTGGTACTGGTTCTTCCTGTCTTAATGTGTACTGTACAGTATAAAGTAACACATTGTTCCTACATAAAAGGAAAACTGCAACCAGACAGCTTGGTCAGAATTACTAGCATATAGCAACTACATTAAGAAGTAATATACTTGCTTCATATTTTCATTAGCTTCAATGCAGATACTGTACTGTAATTAGATGTGCCTGTGCGTTCCACTTAATTTATCCCTAAGGAACTCCACTTTCTGGGAAGTTCTACAGTAATCTTAGGTCCAATAATTACAATTAATACATATTCCCGAGTATACAATTAATCTCTTCCCAGCCTGCTAGATATTGGTCAGTTTGGCAAGGTGAGAAGCTTATATTATAAGCCGCTGACAACAGATCGTAGTCGGTCTAACTCCAAGAGTGGTTTAGTACAGGTGCTTGGGAGAGAGCCCAGATCCTCAACACCAAGTAGCATTCACCAGCAACAATGTAACACTCGTTGAGTCTAGTTCTTCCTCCTCACAGAGCAGACAGCCAGAGTCTGGCTGGTTCGAGCTTCCATGCTCTCATCATGCATGCGAGCTCTCCCGACCCTGCTTGCATGCGACTATGCTCTACAGACACTACCCCCAACTTCACTCAAGCTCTCTGCCCAGCTCCAAGCCTCATCTCGGCTATCACAGCACCATTATATTTCCAATAACAGACTGCTGTAACAAAGACTGTATTACAAGCTTCTCACCTTGCTAAACTGATCAACATCTAGCAGGTTTGGGAGGAGATATTAATTGTAATTAGTTGTACACTTTGGAAAAGATGTTAATTGTAATTAGTGAACCTGGGATTAATGTAGAACTTCCTGGAAAGCGGAGTTCCTTGGGGATAAGTGGGATTAACAGGCACATGAAATTATCTACACTGAAGCTAATCAGAATATGGAGCAAGTATATTACTACTAAATATAGTTGCTACATAACTCCCCTGTCCCACGTGACAAAAGAAACTATCTCTTTCAGAAACATTCCTCAAAATTAACAGGCCTTTGCAATATATTATCAACCTACTATATATTAGAGATCAATGAAAGAATTGAGGGGGTGCACAAAATAGGACAAATACAACTGAAACCCTGGATATATGCATGTGCAGATCTGTTACATGGTATTTAACTAAGGGAAGATGGAATCTGAAGTTCTGTGATTATTGAAAAAGAAAAGTGTGCCCTCAGGAATTATGCAGAGGGAGTAATAACCTGAGGAATAACTATGGTTTGAACATTATAGAACTGTCTATATAATGTACAGTTGTTGCAGAGTTTAGCCTTTGGCATAAACCTTGACATTAAATACAATACTAGTATAATATATGGACATTTTAGATGTTTTGACAAAGTGCAAAATGGTTTCACTATCCCCTTTGCATGTGTGTGACATACACTAATATATTATATTTAATACTCATCTATGTGATGATAATCTTCATGCATAATTGTTTAGCAAGCCTTTACCTGTAGTGTTGCCTTGTCTGTATTTTATATTGGATGGTTGCTGATTGGAATTTAAAGGCTAAAATCTCTGCTACAGTATCTATAATACAAAATTATGGACACATTCATATAAGATAAATTAAATGGTGTCACTAATGCACATCTTTGCCACGTCTTAAGAACTTGCTCTGTATGGTGATTACCTATCAGTGACCATGAGGGAGTGAGATTTAGCTGTTCATTACCTGTCTCTTAGCAGTTTATACCTGATGCATTAATTACCTCTCTTAGCATTAATGTTTTCACCATAATTTTTCCTAAAGTTGTGGATTGAATTGACTTCAATAGCCTCTTCCTTCAATACATTCCACTTGCCAATCACTCATACAAGTAACAAGAACTTCCTTGCATCTCTGACTCAACTGTGTGCAGCATCCACTGATGTCCCGTCTCCTTTTAATTAGACATTCTTTGTGAATCGGATGCTTTTGATATAGTTCGCCTTGTGCGTTTCTGTTCTCGTATTGGCATCCTTGGTGATATTCAGCACCCTCTGATTCTTCTGCACATATGATGGTGCTACATAGCCTTCCCGGTTTGGTGCCTTCTTTAAATAATTACTTTTAATTAGACAGGCTTCCTTTGTCCACTTTGTCTAACCCCTTAAGAACCTTGTATGTAGTAATCATATCCACTCTGTTCCTTCTCTCTAGAATTGTGAGGGCAAGTTCCCTCAACCTGTCCTTGTAGCTGAGGCCTCTTAGTTCTGGTACTAATCTAGTTGCAAACCTCTGAACTTTCTCAAGTTTATTTTAGTGCATTGCAAGGACTTGTAACTATACCATGAGAGAAAGACAACTACAAGAAACATCAAGAGAAAAAGACCTGGGAGTAGACATAAATACAACACTAACACAAGGAGTTCATGCTTACAGGATAACACCATAACACCAGCAGCATATGGGAAGTTGGCAAACATAAGACTTAAACAAAGAAGGTTTCAAATCTATACTCAATTATGTGAGACCATTACTTGAGTATGCAGCCCCAGCATGGAACCATGTAGATATGATAGTCAATGTATGACTATGATCATATACTGTAGTGATATCTAGTCTGTAGGTTCCTGTAGTCATACCTACATGACTCGGGAACTTGGTGTACAGGTTCCAAAGTCGCATACAGATATGACTCTGGAACATGTACACCAGTTGACTGACAGTCTAGATCAAAGAGCCAAAGCTTAACCCCTGCAAAATTTTGGTGCAGTTATGCTTATTAATTTTAGATATTGCTCACTGATATGCCTTTTTCCTACTTTTGAAAAGTCTGACTTCAGGAGGCTACATGACCCAATATGAATAGGGTTCACACCAATATGTGAAGGCTTTTACTAGGAATTGCATTGATAAATTTTTGAAAAGTAAAGTCCAGTAATTATTGGAATAAAGGACTAGGCCAGTACAATATGACTTGAGCAAATTTGTTACCAACTCTTGAGGTATTTCTACCGAGATACCTAACAATCAAACGTGACAGGATAATAGAGGACCTCCAGCACGAGGCCATACACTATAAGCAGACATGCTGCAGCACTTAGGTTATTTTGGCAAGCACCAAAATAATAGGCAATTACCTGGGACCCTGAAACCCACAAGATATGGTCGCTGGTTGGATCTTTGAGACCCAAGGAGTCGCTGGTGGCCTTCACGTCTCATAAAATTGGTCAATCATGGCGTACGAGAGAAAACATTACCGTCTGCCTCTTCGTGAGACATTTTGGTATGTAGCAGGAGCTTAATAAAGGGCCCACAATGTAAAAATGTAATCCAATAAATGGCCTACATGCCTCTTAGCTCTTGCTTTTTATTCAACATATTAGAATGGAATTTAAAAAATTCTTTTGAGTGTACAGCACATTTCATAAAAATAAAACACCTAATGGAGCACATTACAAAAAAAATCAAATATAAAAAATTATCTTTATTACAAAAACAATACAGTCATCCAAAATACAGTTTCCTGAGCATCACAGATAGTGAAACATTCTTCTTTTGTAAACTGTGGGTCCTTGTTCAAGCACTTGCAATATGCAAATGGAGGAATTGGTTTAGGCTCATCAACCGAAGATGAGCTTAAAAATAATTATGGCAATATTAACAGGAATGAGAGGATCTGAAATGGAAAACAAAGCAGTACATTCAGGTATCCCTATCTGAAAAGGGAAAGATCAAATACATTTTCTGTTACATAGATTTTCTTAGAGGAAAATTTATACTTTTCATATATATACATATAGTATATATAAATATACAGTACAGTATATGAATTTGCCTATATAAAATATAGGGAAATTCACAGACATCACAGTAAAGCAAACAGATTAAATGAGGAATGATGTAGTCTCCAAAGAAAAATATAAACCCTATCCTGGCTGAGCACCAATACTGCTGGTGTCACAAAACAACAGATCAAGGTAGGAAACATTCTCCTCTTCTGAAAATGTTCATTATTGCCTCTGAAGACATATTACAAAAGCATTTTTTATAATAAAAAGAGCACAAAACATTTCTATATAATGCAACAGTCAAGCTTTTTTATATCAATAAATAGCACAAGATAAACAAACAAAAGAAATGAATATCGATGGACCACACCCAGAGTGAGCACCCTGCAAAGGTATTTATTTATTTATATACAAGTTGGTGCAGTGGATTGTGAGAGTACACAAAATTGGTGTTTGCAAGTTACACGCAAACAAAGCTTTACTTCAGAGAATAGCTTAACTAGGAAAATGATTGAGTGAATTAAAATTAAGATCTCAATAAATGGATGAATGAAAATAGTCCCATTAGCCCCATTCCTTGGGGTATGGAGAGGGTTACAATGGCTAGCATCCAGATGAACACCTCTATTAATAACAACTCCAGTTCCCAGAATAGCAGGATTACAGAATGGGCAAATGACCATATTTCCATAAGGATATTATCGCAGGCACATCACAGGTCAGGAATAGAGGTGACCTGGTCAAGAAGGACAAGATGATCTGACCTAGTATAACAGCCTCATTAGATGTTGAGATGCAAGTCTCGTCCTAATCACACACTCAGACCTTGACAAAGCACTCAGGAGAGTGCAAAAGACTTTGTATAAATTCCTTACATAAATTTCACAAATACACAAGTGTGGGTTTTTATCCTATGCCAATATGGATATACATAGCATATGTGGTATGCAAATGATGAAATAGCAAGAAAGTGCATTTGTTCATGAACAGTGCTTATGGAAAGAATCATACTACAGCATGTATATGATAGAAAAGTGGAAATAAGATTATCTGTAGGGTTGTCTAATCACTTGATAATGCTATGTAAGATTCAATACCTTTAAATTTGTTATATTTTTTAACTATATTCACAAGAGTTCCCTGCATTTTTGTGGTTTCATTCTATGTGCCAAGCAGACATTTAAGTTTTTGTCAGCACCAATGTCCAGAGATTGACGATTTTACTTTAATATGTGAAACAAATGTCTATCTGGAAGAGCAAATAACATACTATACTAAAAATTAGATTTCAATAATAATAATTACAAAGAAAGAGGAAACTCACATTTCATAACTGTCTTGATGGAACGAATAAAGTGGAAGATCTGTGTCTTGACGCCAGGCTCTTCACCAAAGCCATGCACGTGTGAACCGCCCCATCCGGGCACTGCAAGAAAACACTTATGTATTATTAAAAAAGCTGAATACGTATAAGGAAACTGTAAATATGCAATATGAGAATCATACAAATATACAATGTTTCTCTCAAGACATTACAAAGCCACTTTTAATCAACAGGCCTATACTGTACAGTATTAATGTAGTATCGTAAACACAATTAAATTGTAATAATGTGACGTACACTATCTATGAGAAAATCTTTGGAGCAAGAGTACAGGATGTAGCTAGCATTCTGGGTCACTTCAGACATATGCCATATCCATGGACCATTATATGCTAAAGGTTACATAACCTGGAGTCCACCTAGACCATTACTGACTGAGCTGGTACCAAGTCCAAGTTGTACATGTAACCCACATACACTCTGGTGTAGATAATGATGGGAGCATTTAGTGGAGAACTTCATTACCTACACCAAAGTGTATGCAGGTTACAGTAAAACTTGGATTGGCTACCACCTCAATGCCTCCAGATTCCTAGTGGATTCGGGCAGACTCTAGGTGATGCAACCTTTAGCATATAGGGGTCTATGGGTACAAGAGATAGGGGTCCATGGGTACAACATGCATTTGAAGTGATCCAGGATGCTGGTTCGATCCCAATCTGCAGCTCCAAAGATTTCCTCATAGTACGGTACAGTATAGTATCAGAAGTATAATGCTGGCAGTAGCACAGTACAGAAAAAAACTTGATATTAAAGAAGACAAAAAGCAAAATATTAATGCAAGCAAGTTGATAATTAACAATACAGTACTTGTATGTATGACTAACACTACTTGTATTTAAATTATTTATATTAGTTTCTACATCATTAAAAGACCAAATATAAACCAAGTTAAACAATAATTGAGAAAAATGCTAAATAGGATATAAAATATTCAGCCAGTTAAGCAACTGTTCCTTGACAGCATGTATCTGTAGGGAGAAAAGCATTTTACAACCATGTTTATTTTACCAAACTTATCCTACTAAATCAAATACTGATCCATTCAAGCAACTAAAGTTTTAGTTACTTTGAGCCAACTACAGTATTTTCATTGTATATTCTCAATTTTGAAAAATATAAAATATCATAATACAAAATGGATGCAAAATCTGGAATACTATTCTGAGGAGCTTTAACAAATACCACAATTAAGCCTAATAATGAAAAAAAGATTTGATCTAAAAAATTATATTGAAGTGCCACACCGATGGTTGAATGTGACGCAAGTTACTACAAATGAGCACTTCAATATGCACTGATATTGGTGATTTTATTAGATGATAAAATCTTTGCAATGTATATGATACTGAATTATTGGGATACAGTACTGTATTAACAAGAAAAAGGTCAATGGGAGTACTATGTTATTCAGGAACTAGTCCATGAGGGAATGCACTCTTTGAATACAGGACAACTTTTATAACAATCTATGTAATCAACCAGAATAACACAAATGCACTTGAGTTTGAAAATAGCATGGCGTCACTAGCAGGGTGCACAATACTCAATTCTAAGTGCTGTTAGAAATTTTCAATGGTGTCCTAATTAAGCCAAGCCAAAGTTACAAACTAAAATCAAATCTAACTTAGAATAATAACACCAGCTTCAGGAAAAAACAATTGACACAATGCTGCAAACATTGGGAGGCGGACTCCTCCCGACTCTCTCCCTGACCTTAATAGTACACAACATATATATATCACAAACTGCCAATAGTGCTCTACACCCACATTTTGATAAGAATCTTTCCTCGTTTAGGATACAAACAGCATTAACACAGAGGACGATGGCCTCCAGCAGACTGTAGATCCCGAACGCCATCGTGGAAGTAAACAAACACACTTTCTCACAACTATATTTTATTGACAAACTCATGCTCTTATTTTTACTCTATTTAAAACATAAGTACAATACGTAGTAAAAAGCACGAAGAGATTTCTTAAAAATTGCATTAAACTCACTTTAAATACTTAAACTAAAAAAAGTTGTGCAACTTTTGTAACTTTACAAAGATGCATCACCTCTTTCTCAAACTCTTTTTTTTTTTTTTTTTTTTTTTTCTTGACAACACTGGAGGCGGCTTCCAGAACCTCTTGATCAGTGTCTCCCACGTGTTGACCACCCGTACTGGGTAAGATGGATAAAGATTAAGCCACCCAAGAGGTGGCACGGGCATGAATAGCCCGTAACTGGGTAAGAGACTTTCCTTACATGCAGGCGATTCATTTGCATTTCCAATCCACTTATGTCCCTTCGTCCTATTTTCTCTCACTTTAAAAAAGGCTGTCCTTGTTCACCTTTTCCATTCCCAGTAGTATCTTGTATGATGTAATCATGTCCCCTCTTGTTTCTTCTCTACTCCAGGGTTCTGCGGTACAGTTCCCTTAGTTTATTCTCATAGCTTAGCCATCTAAACTCTGGCACTAATCTTGTTGCAAAGCTTTATTTATTTATTTATTTATTTATTTGTTTATTTATTTATATATATACAAGAAGGTACATTGGGTTTGTGAAAATACATTAAATAGTACAGTATTTACAATCTTGTAAAGCCACTAGTACGCGCAGCGTTATATTTTCTGTTGTTATTTTATGATTCACAAGTTGTAGGTTCCTGGCTGGTGGAGCATATTCCTGTATTGGGCTGACAAAAGCTGTGTAGACTGGCTTGAAAAGTTTGATTGATTGATTGATTGATGAAGATTAAGCCACCCAAAAGGTGGCACGGGGATGAATAGCCCGTAAGTGGTGGCCCTTTTGAACCATTACCAGTATCAAGAGCTGATACTGGAGATCTGTGGAGGTGCGACTGCATTCTGCGTGACGGGAGATGTCTCCCGTGCTTGAAAGGTCCCTAGTTTAGCCTTTTAAATGACGTTCTAATTTGTCAGCATCTCACATGCTGCCAGTGTTATCCTGTTTATGTATGCCTTTGGAGACATTTTTGGAATTATATCCTCTCGCAGATTCTTTTCTCTCTCAGACTCCTGAAGTTACCTTCCCTTTATGGTGTACACTAGATCACTTCTCCTGTCTCCCTTCCCCCATGACGGTCCCTGTAGTACAGTCGGCTTCGTTCTCGACGCATAATCGAAAATTCAGGGTTCGAATCCCGGGCGGGACAGAAATAATTGGGCACATTTCCTTTCACCTGCCGCCCAGTTGGGTGGGTGTGCAGGAAGACTAGTAACTGTGTGACTCACTATAGATGTAAAGTGCCTTGTATAGTGACTGTTGTGAGCCTCTTGTTGATCACTTGTGGCACAAAATATTATTGATGTGTGTGATTAAATATGTATGTGTATGTATATATGTATACGTATATATATTTATATATATATATGTACATGTATGTATGAGAGTGTGTACATGTATATATAACATTAATAATTGTGTAACTAGCGTCAAAAGATTGTTATTTGCTTAGCTAAACGAACTAGAGGGTTCAGTTCCTGAACCGATTATGTGCCTCTGTAATCCTTTACACCACCGCCCACGGGATGGGTATGGGGTGCATAATAAAGAAAGAAATTAAATTGCATTGAACTGAACCCCTTAAATTTATTTAGCTAAGCAAGCAGCATTCTTAATAAGCTAGTTACACAGTTTAATGTGTATATCAATAGTTCTTGATAGCACAAATGGTTCAAGAACTGGTTCTCAACAGTTCGTAAGGGAAGCAATTTATGGTGAGCAACAGAGACTATTTTAAATCATTTTTCAGCGTCAGAATAGTAAACAAAGGGAGTACTCAGAGAAGTGAAGGAGTAGAGGGAAAAGTCCATATACCATATACCAGTCCATTAAGGAATGAGAGGCGGGACCTAAGCATTGTAGTTAATCCCTACAAGAACAACTAGGAGACAACTAGGTGATAACTAGGTGACTAGGTGAATACCCTCAAGGCTACACACTCCATCCCACTAGACTACCAATCCGTAAACAATTAATTGGCTACACTGTCCAATAATACAGGTGTGAGTATCGATCATTTGTCCAGTACCTCCCACACGGTATGTCTAGTACCTCACTGCACACCTTCACTTACCCCTCACTTTCCTCACCTCCTCTCACTGTCCTCCTCTTCCCTCTTTTTCCTCACTTTCTTTTCCCCCCCTATCTTTTCTCCCGGTTCCTCCCTCCCATCCACTTGTGTCGTCACCGTGAGGGGTAATGTCTGTGTTGGTGTGAGTGATGTGGCGCAGCTGTGGAATGTCCTGTTGAGTTACCCCTCAGCGCCGTCAGTGACATTGTCACGTTAAGACCAGCGGCGGATGGGTGACCGCCGGACAACCTTGCCCTTGGGTAGGGAACCTCGACTTCTAAAGAGACTTCCAGCCTGGTTAACAGCATACTATACAATATCATACCACAGCATATCATACTATACCAGAAGCATTGCATCACTGTGTGTACTCGCCTCGTAATTTGAAATGAAATCGACTCACAAAAGTGACGTACTGTCCCGTTTTCTGCTTGAGTCGTCCGGCTTACTCGGTAAGGTTAGAAGAGTAAACTTTCAATTAACGTTTTTCATGAAGTTTTGAAACTTTATGAGAATGTCCTGCTCACCTAACATACCAGAGGATCCTTAACTTAGGGTCCTCTGGTATGCCCCACAATTGGGGCAAACCACAGCCCCACTGTGGACCCTTAGTCCACAGTGGGGCTGTGGTGAGCCCATAGTGGACTTTTACCTTCCACAGGAGCCATGGGAGCTGGCCGGCCGAGCGGACAGCACGCTGGACTTGTGATCCTGTAGTCCCGGGTTCGATACCCGGCAGAGGCGGAAACAAATGGGTAGAGTTTCTTTCATCGTGATACTCCTGTTCACCTAGCAGTAAATAGGTACCTGGGTGTTAAGACAGCTGTTACAGGCTGGGTGTGTGTGAGTGTGTGAAAATTTAGATTAAAGACCTGCCCGAAATATATATATATATGACAGTGTCAGACCACGGAGGAAAATTGAAACAGGAATTTCCCTAAGTACTTTCGTATATTAATACATCCTCAGAAGGAGTCTGAAGTATTTTGTATTAATATACGAAAGTACTTAGGGGGAAATTCCTGTTCCAATTTTCCTCCGTGGTCTGACACTGTCACATTTTTAATCACGTGTTTATTTTCGTGACACACACACGCACACACACACACACACACACACACACACACACACACACACACACACACACACACACACACACACACACACAAACGTGTGATATTGAGGACATTGGCGTTAGCAGGCGGTGACTCCCTGCCACCATTACGACACACACACACATTCTTGTACCCACGCCACAAATCCTCCATCTCTGCCAATGCTCAATTTACAGTTGCTTGTCTTGCAAGTTTAAACAATATTATTCTTTAGGCATAAAGGGGTAAAAATCAATAGTTGTCACAGACACATCGATAGCCAAACATTATCTCCCCCCCTCTATGAACCCCCATTTTCCACCCATTACGAAACCTGTGTCACTGCGAACCATTACACATCATAACGAGCCTTCTACTCACCAGTATGACCCCATTACCAATTACCAGGTAGCTGACAATCACAGTACAAGTCTATCACTGTGTGTGTGTGTGTGTGTGTGTGTGTGTGTGTGTGTGTGTGTGTGTGTGTGTGTGTGTGTGTGTGTGTGTGTGTGTGTGTGTGTGTGTGTGTGTGTGTGATCTTCAACACCATCTTCTACTACCATTATCAAGACAATTGTCTTGATAATTGTCCAGAACAGACCCAAACGTTCTCGTCTTTTGTAATCTATTTTTTGCACTACCGCTCACAGGATGGAGTATGGGGTACACAATAAACTACCACTCACAGGAGGAGTATGGGGTGCACAATAAACTACCACTCACAGGATGAGTATGGGGTGCACAATAAACTACCACTCACAGGATGAGTATGTGGTGCACAATAAACTACCACTCACAGGATGAGTATGGGGTGCACAGTAAACTACCACTCACAGGATGAGTATGGGGTGCACAATAAACTACCACTCACAGGAGAAGTATGGGGTACACAATAAACTACCACTCACAGGATGAGTATGGGGTGCACAATAAACTACCACTCACAGGATGAGTATGGGGTGCACAATAAACTACCACTCACAGGAGAAGTATGGGGTACACAATAAACTACCACTCACAGGATGAGTATGGTACAACAGTTTTATTCATATTAAAAGCAGAACACAGGTTCAATCATAGTCAATTCACTGTTTAATGAATTCAATTAGAAACCCCTTATAAGTACAACCTCGTGGCTAACAAGGTTGTTGATGTTGTAGATGTATCTACTCAGAACGAAATGTCCATGTAGCACGGGCTATGGCGAGCCCGTAAAGAGGCTTCCGCAGCCAATATATATACCTCCGCCCTCTCTGGCATCCCATGGACGAGTGAGGGCGTGCGAACCGGCGAACCAGTTTTGTGTGTGTCGGTGATCGATAGGCGGCCCCGAAGCCCACGTGGTGGTCGGTGATTGGTGGAGGGCGCCGGCGGGCTGCTCCCGGCGTCTGCCAGAGGTTAATTTTCCGCAGCTAACACCTTAATATGAAATATGTATTGTGTCGCTCTCGGCCAGTGCCTGCATGTGTTCCCTGTGTGTCCTTGTTTAGGTCCCTGTGTGTGTCCTTGTTTAGTTCCCTGTGTGTCATTGTTGTGTTCCCTGTGTGTCCTTTTGTTCCCTGTGTGTCCTTGTTGTGTTCCCTGTGTGTCCTTGTTGTGTTCCCTGTGTGTCCTTTTGTTCCCTGTGTGTCCTTGTTGTGTTCCCTGTGTGTCCTTGTTGTGTTCCCTGTGTGTCCTTGTTGTGTTCCCTGTGTGTCCTT